ACCAGCAGCCGGGCTACCTGTGAGCTTCCTTCATGTGTGTCTACCTGTCGGCACATTTGCCATGTCTCTGGGCGCACGTGCCTCGGCATACGTGTATCTCTGGCTGCACGTCTCCACATGTGTGTGGAGTACCCGTGTACACCGCCTCTGGAGCTGCTTGTGTGAGTCTGCTTCCACAGGTGCTTGGCACCACAGGTGCCCCTCCACACATGCATGTAGGCTTCTATTTTTGCACCTGTCTCCTCCATGTATATCTCCGCAGGTTCCTGGCTGTGCATGTTTCTAGGTGTCTGTGTTCTGAGACAGGGTGAGGCCAGGCCCAACACTCAGGCACAGGGGAGGAGGTCAGGCTTACAGATGGTGCCACCCCAGGGAGCCTGTGTACGTGTGTGCCCGTGTGTGCCTGCATATGCACAGAGACGCCATGAAGCTGGGTAAACACGGGTGAGAAGGTCATGCTGACAGACGGTGCTGCCCGCCCCAGGACCCTGCAAGGCGTCTCCATCTGTCGGCTTCCCTGGTGCAGCCCCCTCCCTCTGGCCCAGACTCAGCCTCAGGCATCCCAGGCTGAGCTGGACAAAGAAACCTGTGTGTGCTTTGTAGGGGCCTCACCAGCCTCCCTCCCCCCAGCCGTTGCAGCCAGCTTAAGCTCATCCCCTTGTCCACCCCTACCCCAGCCTTATCTATCAAGACCCCAACATTTGCCTTAGCTGCAACCAGACTTACCTTCCTACTGGCCCCCTACCCTCCTATAGCCTTCACTCAGATGTCTCCCTGCGACCCCACCCCACCCCTGTCACCAAAGTTCTCCCTGCCTCCCATGCTCAAGGGTTTAGTACTCCTGCATCTGTCTCCTCCTCCAGGAAGTCACCAAGATAGCAAGTGAGTCATGGAGCAGAAGCAGCTCCACCACTGCTGTGGGGCCTCAGCCAAGTTTCTGGCCCTCTCTGAGCCTTAGTCTCCCAACACCCTCCACCCCTACACAGACACCCTGTCATCTGCCTCTGCTCAGCGGGGACAACAGGGGAGGAGTTTAGATCTGTTGCAGCATCCAAAGACCATTGCGGTTTGCTGCAGGAACCCTTAACATCCAGGTGCGCACCCACCACGGGTTCGCAGGGATCCGTGGGGGCCGCCCCTTGGGAATGTGCGTGCGCCCTACCTGTGCGTGCTGGCAGGAGCCACAGGCAGCTGTAGAGACCGGGGCTCTGCAGTCCCTTAAAGGCCCCGTGGGCTTCTCTTTCCCTCCCAGGGACCCCCGTATCAGAGAATGGAGGGGCCTCCGCCCTGCGGGCACACACTGCCAATGCGGGGCTGAGAAGCAGGTGTGCAGGGCGGGCCCGCGGCTGAGCGCTTGAGCGGGAAGGAGGCCTGGGAGTTGGGATGGGGGAGCAGGGTCCCGGCAGGTGGGGGTGGAGGCGGAGGGGCGGCAGCTGCCCGACCGACCCCGGCGCGCGCCCGCTGGGACACGGGATGGGACACGGGCGCGCGCAGCCTTCCTCCGGAGCCCGCCTCTCTGCCGTTGCCGTGGTTACCGGTGGCCGGGAGGGGGAGGGGCCCTTCCTCCCCGCAGCCCGCAGGACAGGTTCTGAGGGGCCCCGCTGAGCACGCCCCGGGGTGCGGGGATGTGGGTGTGCGCCCGCGGGCGGCCCCGTGTGGGGGACAGCCGGGGTCGTGTGGCCGCTCGGTGCTGGGGGGCTTCCAGGAGCGGCGAGCCCCGAAGCCGGTGGAGGGCGTGGTAGGGGGCGGGATGGTGGCACTGTCCCCCAGGGGCGCCCCCACCGGGAGTCCTAGGCCCGGCCCTGCCAGGATGGGACCCGCCCCCGGGTCACCCTAGCCCCGCCTCATTCAGCTTGCGTGACCTTGGCCAGGTCTGCAAGCACCCCATCGCTCCTCCTCCACCCGCCGTAGGGTTTTGCTAAGAATAAATCATTTTTTTAAAGCATGTTATTACCTCTCTACGTGGAGCACGGTAAATACTCCAAAACCGTAGCCTTCTATGCTTCCTATCTGGGCCTCAGTTTTCCTGATTGTTGATGGGTTTGCAGTGATCATGTGAGGTCAGAGTGAGGGATTTACCCTGAGCCTCAGTGGTTCAGGCGGTGGTGTGGGTGCAGGGCAGGGGGGCAGTGCCGGATGAGCGAATGGGTCCAGTGTGCCCTGTGCCCAGCTTGGCCAGACACACAGGGGGCATCAGTACGCAGCTGCTGACCTTGGCTCCGTTTGAATGTGCTGGAAGCCTCCTGGGGAGCAGAGAGGGAAGAGACAGCAGGGGGTTGCTTGCCCTGAGGGGCCGGAGTCCTCCTGCGAGACACGCTCCCCACTGCTGGAGGTGTGGGACTGCGGCCGCCTGAGTTCTGCCTAGAAGCCTAGTTGGCACAAGGGACCGGCGTTTGGGTCCCGCTGTTTTATGGACAGCTCTTCACACATGCCGGTTTTAGGCTCTGGCGGCAGCGCTTGAGGCATGATCTGAGCCAAGGATGGAGCCATTGAGGGCGCGATAATTGAGGGAGGAAAATTAATTGTCCTTAATTTCGCGTAAATCCCCCAGACCTTCCCCGTGTTAGGAATTCAGAGTGGATGCCGGGACACGGGGCCGCAGGTGTTCATACTTCTTCCTTTCTCCTTGCTCTACCTTGCCAGGGAGGTGGGGCCGGCTGGCCCCCGGGCCTGGACTCGGGCCGACTCTGTCGTCCCTGCATCCCCCACATGCTTAGGACGGCTGAGCAGGGAGGATTGAGGACTGTCACCTCGGTGAGCTAGGGTGGCTCTAACTGTCCTGAGTGTCCCCCAGCTGCTGAGGAGGGCGGCGGGGGTGGGGGGGGAGCACTGGGCCTCAGGCCCAAAGGAAGCTGCTTCCTGTGTGGTACATCCCAAGTCCTGCTTCCCTGCCACTGTTTAACATTTTCCTTGGAAAATCAGAGCTGGGAGTCAGGACACTGTGGGATCATATTTACAGTCAAGGAGATGCTGGGTTCACATCTGGAATTTATAGGGCTGCAGGTGGGGAAGTAAGCATAGTGCCAGCCACTGGGAGAGGCGGGGGAAGCAAGGCCGTGCTTCAAGTCCTGCTGCTCCCCAGCCCAAGACCCCCTGTCCTCATGGGGCCACCACAGTACCTTTGGGATGTCCCTGGCAGCCGGAGCCTTGGCAGGAACCCACCCCCCGACCCCCACCCCAGGTCTGGCAGCCGATAGAGGGATGTTTTACCCCTGCCTACTGGGGCTCCTCCAGCTTCCTCTCCCACCTGCCTCCCCAGTCAGTCCCCCTGGGTCTCTGAGAGTCTATAGGGAGGATCAGCACTGCCAGCCTTTATTTTCTAGAATCACTTCTGAGGATGCCATGTGCCTTTTCCCTGGCACAGGAGTCCAACCTCAGCGAGTGTCCCCACACACCCGTGTTGTGCTGGGCCCGAGGAGGGGCTATGTCCTGGTTTCTGCCACCACGGAGCCTCGCTCCCCCATTGGAAGACAGACACTGTTCTCTGTCCTCCATAGGGCGTGTCAGGCATCCACACCGTGGGAGAGGCTCTCTGCCGAGTGCTCAGACGCACTCTGGGCTTTGCTCTGGGGTTTGCAAACCCCACCAGCCCCGGGCCCTAATCTCGGTACCCGTCCACCCTGGTGGCTTAGCCACTGATGATGATGATGTCAGCCAGTACTCCTTGGTGCAGGTTCTCTGTCAGACACTCCCCAGCACCTTGTGCATCCTTAGATGTGGTCCTCGTGATGGCTTTACAAGCTGGGCACTTGAACCCTGTCTACAGATAGTGGAGGCACAGAGAAGACTAGTAAGGCACCCAGGTCACAGAGCTAGTTAATGGTAGAGGTGGGAGCCCCACTTGGCTCGCACCAGTCCAGAGCCTGTGCTCCCAGCCCCTGGTGCTTCCAAGGGTGGGGAGAGGCCGGCCTTGCTCCGCCAGCTTCCAGGGCTGTGTGTCCGAGTCTCTGCAGCAGGAGTGAGGGTGTGCTGACGTCCGCGGCTGTTGCTCCCTTGGGACCAACTCCTGCATGAGCCTCCAACCCCCAGCAAGGTGGGAAAAGGCAGCCAGGGAAGAGTTGTGCATCCCTTCATCAAATGTTTGTGTCCTCATAGAGCTTTTTTTAATCTCCTTGGCCTCCACGTGCTCCAACATGGTCCCTAGGCCTGACTGTGGCCCCCACAGGGACTAGGAGAAGGTCAGGGTCAAGACTCTAGTAGAGGGGCAGCCCTGGTGGTGCAGCGGTTTAGCGCCACCTGCAGCCCAAGGTGTGATCCTGGAGACCTGGGATCGAGTCCCGCGTCAGGCTCCCTGCGTGGAGCCTGCTTCTCCCTCTGCCTGTGTCTCTGCATCTCTCTCTCTCTCTTTCTGTGGTCTCTCATGAATAAACAAATAAAATCTTTAAAAAAAAAAAAAAGACTCTAGTAGAGAATGGGTCAGGACCAGGGGTTGCGGGGGCTCACTGGTAGGGCAGGGGGTGCCCAGTCGGGTCCTGAATCCGGGCTGTGATGTGGGGTTCTCCTATGCTGTGGAGCTAAAGGCTAGATGCAAATGGTGGAGGGGACACCGCATGTTCAGAAAAAGGAGTGGGTACCAGACAGCCCCGGGAGCCTTTGGGCTGAGCTGTGGCTCTAGGGGCTGCCGTATGAGCTGTGGGCCCCTCGCAGCCCAGCATCCGTGTAGCACTTTCTGCTGTGGCCAGCAAAGCATCAATCCTTGTTTTTCCCAGAGCCCAGAGAGATAAGTGCTGACGTCTCCAGTCTGAGGCATTGTTTCTCAGACCTGGAAACTCCCTGACGGGGCAGGGTGGGCCCCACTGTGTAGGACTGGGGAGCAGGCCTGAGAAGCAGGACTTGGGACTCTGGTTCCTCACATGGAGCATCCTTAGAAGTCAGGAACTGGGAGACGAGGGTCTTAAGGGTCCCAGCCAACCCAGGAGTCAGGAGAAGCTGCCCATGCTGGAAGGTGCCCCAGGCAGGCAGTGCCGGCCCTAACTTGCACTTCTGTTTTTTGTCTGCAGAAGAACAGCTGCCCCCTGGGTTCCCCTCCATCGACATGGGGCCTCAGCTGAAGGTGGTGGAGAAGGCGCGCACAGCCACCATGCTGTGCGCAGCAGGCGGGAATCCAGACCCTGAGATCTCTTGGTTCAAGGACTTCCTCCCTGTGGACCCTGCCACAAGCAATGGCCGCATCAAGCAGCTGCGTTCAGGTGAGCAGAGGGTAAGGGTCAAGGGGCCACACAGACTCCAGGAAAGGTGTCCACCTGACACCCAGCACTGCCTTCCGTCTTGGGGCTGAGCAGAGGACGTCTGGTGGGCGGGTCAGATCTTGGTACAGGCCCCCCTGGCCCAGGGAAGAGAGCTTGACAGCGTGGGTTCGTTGCCGGTGATTCTTTTACCTTCCTGGAACGGTCAGAGCCTAAGCTTTGGTCCAGCACGGCTCCTTGCAGCATGAGTGATGTGCCCAGTGTGGTGTTGGGCTCTGCAGAGGTGCTCTGTGGGTGTCTATCCTCCATCTTGCCTACAGCCTGGCCCGAGAGGAGGCCTACATGATGCTTCTCTTTACTTCTCCAGACAGCAGGGCTTAGCCAGGAATAGAGGCCAGAGATGCCTGATTCATCAGGCTTCAAAAGGCTGGACCTCAGGAGCTTAGAGCCAGGAGGACTTGCTACTATGACTTGGCCACCAAGGCCACCTGTCTCCTCCAGATATCTGAGTCGAGCCAGCTCAGAGCCCTGGCAGCAAGGATGCCGTCATGACCAGGCAGGAGGTGTCGCCCCATTGATCGATCTGCCTCTGAGACTCCCGCCAGGATAATTGATTCAGTTTTTGTGGGAACGGTGCAGGCGGGAAAGGAGGCTCAGAATCGGCTTAGCTGCATTCTGCATTTGCCCGCCAGCCAACCCTGGACCGATAGACCTTGGTCCAGAAACTTTCTGCTAGCTGCGGGACGGTGGGCTCAGGCAAGATGGCCAGCGCCACCAGAGCCCCTGCTGCCCGGCAGCTGTGAGGTCCACACTACAAAGGAGTACATGACTCTGCCCTTTTGGGGTCCTGCAGGCTTTAGAGGTGCCCGGGCCGCTCCCTGGGGTGCCAGCCGCTCCCGCTCTCTCCCACCAGGGGAGGAGGGAGTGGTGAGCTGCCCAGCAGGGGCAGGATTCAGGCCCTAGCCATGGCCGCCTGAGACAGCCTACAAAGTGTTAGCTCATTTAATTTAATTAAAACTCAACAAGATGGAGGCAGCTGTAATGCAGTTAATTAAAACAGCCATAATCAAGGCAGGAAATGGTCCGGCAGCATTTGCAGCCACTGCCCAGCACTGCCCAGCGGCCGGCATGCTTCGGCTCCTCTGCATTTCCCCACAGCCCCCCAAGCAGGCTCCCCAAACAGCCAGATGGTCCTCCCCACAGGCCTGGCCTCCGCCCCAGAATGGCACTGACTGTCCGTGGCAGCGATTCTGGGAAGGCTCGCTGTCTCTCGCGCTTGTTCATCAAGTATTTATGTGGTGCTTACTGTGTGCCAGGCCCTGTGCCACCCATTCACTGCCCGATGAGTCGGCTCCTGCCAGTTACTCCACTGGCTGCTCCCCCTCCCCCTTCTCCCGGGCTTCCCTCTCCCTCCTGGCTTCCCTGAGGCCTCCTCTTCCTCGGCTCCTCCCTCCGGCCGGGAGCCCTTGGCCCCTGCACTGTCCGCAGGGACAGGGCCTTCCCGTGGGCCAGCTCACCTGCTCCTGTAGCTTCAGGCCCCCTCTGCTCCCACACCCCTCGTTCTGTCTCCAGCACCACACAGCTTGCCTGAGCTTTAGATTAAAAAAACAAAAAGACAAAAAAAAAAACCTAGCTGCCTTCAGGTGTCACCCTGACTGGCCGTGAGTGGTGACTTCTTCCCAGACAACTGTGGCCTTCTCCCACCGACCATCTCCCTGTTAGTGGCAGAGGATGCACGCCGACTCCTTCTCCCATCAGGACGCGTCACGTCCACTGGTCGCCCACACGGCTGTCATGCTGGACCCGCTTTGTTGACCCGCTTTGTCCTCCCGCTGCCTCCTGGCCATGTCCCAGTCACCAAGCGCTGTGCTCCCTGCCTCCGGGCCCTCCCCGGGAATCCAGCCCCCAGCAGCTGCCAGTTTTCTGCCCGTGTCCCTCTGTGCTCCAACAACCTCAGTAGCATCTCATTGCCCACATGGCCAGGCACCTGCTCCTGAGCAAGCCGCACAGAACCGCTCCTGACCTTCCCAGCTCACACCTCCGGCTTAACCCCCTTGGGTCTTAGCTCCGCACCTGCAAGCTCTGTGGCCTCAGTGAAGTTCTTTAACTTCTTTGAGCTTCTGTTTCCCCACCTTTAAAAAGGAGTGACAGGAAGGATTAAGCAAGAGAACAGCAATGGAAGCTTTAGTTCCCCGCCTGGCGTATGGGGAGGGCTTCAGGAATGGGGCTCTTGTTATCTCTGGCCACTTGCCACTTGCACAGAGCCACGCTGACCCATCCTTGCCGTCTGCTCTAAGCCACCAAATCAGGAAGCCTCTCCTTTCTCTGCCCAACTAAGGCCTCCTCCTTCAGGACATACCCCACACCGTGTTGTTACTGCCTGGCTCCAGCTCGGCTCACTTAAGCGAGGGCGCACCTTGCAGGGAGGGCTTGGGTCTGGCTCCCCACTGCGAGGTCCCCTTCCCCCCCAGCTCCCAACCCAAGTCCAGCTACAGGACAGGTATCTCTGAGCCCTTGCTGATAAATTATTTCATGAACGAGACCTTTGGGCCCTGTCCCTGCAGACAAAGGTCCACTCCCCCTGCCTCTTAGGTCCAAGGAAGACCTTGTTTAACCTTTGCTGCCACCTGGAAGCTATAACCTGGGGGTTATGGACCTCAGGTCCAGTTCCTGGGATGGCACCTGAGGGGACTTAATCATCCCACCTGTATAGTAGCAGGACTCCCCCTTCTGCCTGGCCCTGGCACCAGGCCCTGACTCCAGGAGCTGCTGGCCCTATCCTGTTACCATGTAAAAGGGTGCTGGGGCCGATCCCCACACATTTGACAGGGACATCCCTTCATGGAGTGGAATCAGGCCCCCAAGCACTCAGCTGTTTACAGGGACTTTCACAGTTTATGCATCACCGACGGATCACAAGGTATTTCCCTGCCTTTTGTTGCACTTGTTTTTTCTGCAACCCTGAGAAGTAGGACAGGTTGTGATTATCATGCTCACTTTACAGCTGAGTTAAAGGGACTCACCCGTGGTCCCACATGGAGATCCAGGGCCGGGAACTCCCCTGGGCAGTCACCCAGAGGCCTTCTAGTGTCACAAACGCCAAACCTGGGGCCTGGGGTACGCTTGGACCCTGCGAGCACTGCAGAGCTGCAACGGTCCCATCCTCTCCAGATCTCAGGCCCTCCCTGACAGGTCCCCAGAACTTATCAGGCACCTGCAGGCTAAGCTCCAGCACGGGTCACAGGGTGTGGCCCCTGGAACAGCAGCTGGAGAGGAGGGCAGCTGGTGTGAGCGCTATCCAGGCCTGAGCTCTGTTCTGCAGGTGTTTTCCTCATTGAAGTGCCACAAGAGCCTCTTGGGAATTTGCAGTTGAGGCCCAGGGTGGGCCCGCGAGGAATGGAGACAGACTCAGGGAGAGTGGAAGTCAAGTCAGGAGCAGACGGTGTCACTGGAGCAGCAGGTGGAGGCTGACCCCCAGGTGGGGCTCAGAGCCCCTTCTGGGTCCTGAAAGAAGCTAGTGGCCCACAGGCTGCCCAGCCCGGACAGGCTGCCGAGGAGCCCTCCCAGGCTCTGCTCCATCCCAGGGCCCTGAATGCATCACCATCGAGGACAACCTGATCCACCACATGCACGTGCTCACCCAGAGCACGGTCTCCTTCCACACCCTCTGACCCCCGGGCTGAGACTACAGGTCCTAAGCAGAGATGCCAGCAGCTGACTGTGGGTGGAGGCCCACCGGCCCTGGCAGATGGGACCCAGAGCCGGGTGCAGAGCAGACTCCAGGGTGGGCCTGAGGCCTGCAGTCCCCTACTCTGCTGGCTGGCCCGGCTCTGACTGAAAGAGCCTGTCCCCCGACTCACCCCTCCCACCAGCTGGGGCTGCCAGGAGGGCATGCTGGCAGTGCGTGGTCATGATTTCCCTTTGGCCTGAGCACACTGGCACCTCTCAGGAGAGCCGCTGACTCCTGGGTCACTCCAGTCTCCCACACCCACCTTGTGAAATGGTAAGGCAAATTTTTTGTTTGGTGGAGGAATGACTCTTCTGAGAGGTCCAGAGACTCATTACCAGCAGGTTAGGTTTTGGGGGAGCAGAGACCGGGAGCTAAAAGTGCCAGCCTTGGCCCATTCCACTGCCGCCCTCTCCCAGGCTGGGCCTGCCCTGCAGAAGCAGATCAGCGGTTGTTGACTTTTTGGTCTTGGGACCTCTGATTGTAAATATTAAAGGACCTCAGAGAGCTTTTGTTTGTGTAGGTTTCATTCATCAGTATTTACCGTATTAGATGTTGAGACTGAAAAGGTTTTAAATATTTAAATCTTAAAATAATTTTAAAACCCATTACACGTTAAATAACATTTCTAATGAAAAATAATTATGTTTTGTAAAACAAAAACATTTTGTGAAGAGAGTGGCATTGTTTTACATTTTCACAAATCTCTTTAATTGGGGGCTGGATAGAAGACTGCCGGATTCTCAGGGCTGCTTCTACGTTTGGTCTGTTGCAGTATCACACTTCGTGGAGCTTCCGGACGACTCCACCGTTTATTCATAAGAGAGCCAGAGTGAAAAGGGCAAATAACTTCTTAGTATCAGGAAAATAGCTTTGACCTTGTGGACCCTCTGAAAGAGTCTCAGAGACACTCAGGGTGCCTGGACCATGCCTGGGGGATCGCTGTGATGATGGTTCTTCCCAGGTTCTCTGCAGCCCCTCACATGCCCAGCCCAGGTCCCAGCAGCTGCCTCTGCCTCCCGTCCAGCCCCTGTGTCTGCAGGAGGCAGTCTAATCCAGTGGGAAGGCTGTGCACCAGACCTGGTTAGTTCCTGCCGCCTCACAGGCCACGTGACCTTGGGCTCTGGGGAAGCCACTTGGCCCTTAGCTTGTTTCATCATTCCGACGTAGACACGGATAATTCCTCCTAGGCAGGTGTCATCAAGTTCGATGAGAGAGTGATCGGTGTTTGTCTCTTGGCACACTTCCCTCCCCACTGCAATGGGCAGAGAGGGCGGGGGCAGGGGAGGCAGGGTAGACGGCATTGGGGCCAGGCCCGCTCATAGGCTCCTCACCTCCTGGATGAGGCAGTAGCAGAAGCAGGGCCCTGAGCGCAGCCTCAGAGGAGGCACGTGTGGGAAGGCAGCCTGTGCAGACCTCGTAACAGCCCAGCATTGGGCATTTGGAGGGTGCATGTCTGGCCCTCTGGGCTTGAAGCACTAAAAGGGCAAGGAGGAGGCCCTGGCCTCTGGCTCTCACCAGTTGGGTTCAGGGGAAGCTCAGTAGTCACAAACTTCTTTATGAGTGGGATGAGTGGGCTCTACAGGGCATCTGCCACTGGGTTGTAAGTTCACCCCAGGTCCCACAATGGGGCCGGGCCGGGCTGGTGTGTCTGCTTGAGGGAGACCTGGCCTGGTGGTGGCCTACAGCAAGCCCTCCCATTAGCCCGTTCTGTGTGCTTAACCTCCTTGGTTTGTTTTGGTAAGTGCTTTATTTTGAAATCTTGCCCACCTGTGACATTTGGGTGCCCCTAGGAGTGGGGTTGCTACCTCTTTTATTCACTTTCCCCTTATTGGCTTCAGCCAGCTTGGTCTGCAGGAGCCCTGACCCCACTTTCCTGATTCCCGTCCCCTCCAGCCCCGAAGACCCCAGCCCCACTCCCCTCTCCGCCCCCTCGGAGCAGTGCCAGTGACCTGGGGGACACAGCTTCACCCACACTCAGCCTGGCTCAGCCTGGCGCCTGCGCACTTACCACCTGCGTTGGCCTAACTCAGGCCTTGATTTCTCCGTGTTTTATTTTATTTGGTTTGGCTTTTTGTGGCTTTTCCTTCCTTTTGTACTAATGCTTTTCTCTGATCTTATTTGCATTCAAATTACCTCGCCAGGTGGTTCACCAATCAGAGGTAAGAATGCTGTCCGTGCATCTCGCCACGCCACGCCACGCCACGCCACTGCCGTCACCACCACTCCATCCCGTCCAGTCCGTCACCTCCCCCATCCCCATCCTGACCTCTCCAGCCTCCTCATCTCCAGCTCTGGTCCCCCAAGCACCACCGGCCACCACACACCTCCACTCTCGGTCATTCCCTCCTGTGGACTCATCCATTGCAAGTCTGGACTGTAGATATACTCAGCTGAGCCCTGCCTGGGGGATGGCAAGCCCTGCTTCCTGGGCCTTCCAGGCCAACCCCACAGAAGGGACCCTGTCCGCCCCACACTGAAGCCAAGTGCTGAGCCCCAAGCCCGACCACAGGTGGAGAGCCTTCCTGGGAGGTGGGGCAGCATGACCAGGCCCCCCTTTCTTCCCAGGAAGCTCCTTTTTCTTGGGGTCCTCCATGATGGCTTGACTTCCCTTTAACATCCTGGCCCTAGAGCAGAGTGAGGACCATCCTGTAAATCCCCATAACCCAGCACAGATGCTGCTGGGACACAGGGAACAATCAGGGTCCACCGTGACTAGCTCAGATCGCCTGCCAGCCCTGGCTGCTCTCATGCCCCAGAGCCCTGCAGCCTGGAGCTCCAGAACCACACTCTGGACCCAAAGATCTGGGTGCAAGTTTGAATCACCTGTGTTGACTTTCAGAAAATCGGTCTGATCTCTCAGAAGTCTGCGTCCTCCTCTTTAAATCGGGGCCAGGGCCCACCTCACAGACTCCTGAGGTTTAGAGGAGGGGATAAGGGGCTGGGCAGTGTCTGGCTCGGAGCAGGCCCACTGTAAAATGGTCGCTTCTGGACTGATTTGATTCATATCATTTCTTCACAAGTCTCTTGGCTTCCTTGGGCACATCTGGACCCTCAGTCCAGGGCCAGGGTGGTCTCAGGACAGAAGATAGGGCTGAGAGGAGCAGCTGCCTTCCTGTGGGGCATCTTGTCCGTGACCCTCCCAGGCCAGGACCACTTCTAGTTCTTCATGCCCCTGCCACCGGGTCTTGGTGTTGGTTCCAGATTTGGGGGTTTCTGTGTGTATCCAGGCCCGGGCTCTGTGTTGGGTCCCCAGCCAGTCCTAGGTCTCCACACAGGGGAGCCTCCTCCCCGAGCAGGGGTCTCACCCAGGCACTAGTTCTTGTCCCTGCCTGTGGCGCCAGGCCCCCAGGTCTCCCCTCACTCCCCAGCTGAGCTGACCTAGCACAGCACCCCCCACCCCCAACCAGCCAGGGGCCTGACCCTGCCTGCCTGAGGGAACATTTTCTGTAAGTGTCCATCCATCCCATACACATGACCTGTTGGGTGCCCGTCAGAACTGTTCTTGCAGGAGATGGGTATTTGGCACGTGCCCTGGGCCCTCGTGCTCCCTGATGTCCAGTGGGGAGGGCTGAGGCCAGAACTGCAGACCAGGCCGGCCTCGACATTAAGCCTTGGCAGCCCCTTCCCCCACCTCCAGCCCCCGGGCCCCAGCCCCCTGAGTGTTCAGGGCCCCTCCTGCTGCCCTGGGTCTGGGCGGCAGAAGAGGGAGGGCGGGCAGTGGGGGGCTGCAGCCCTGCACCCAGGGCAGTCCTCCCCTGGGGCCTGGGCCATGAGTGTGTGGCTTGGAACTCTTCCTCCGCTCCTTATGCAGTCCACACAGGTGGGGTTCAGCAGTTCTGTCTCTGTCCTTTGTGGGTGTGGTGCCATCAGCTGGCCTGAGCCCCGGGAAGGGGCCTTTAGGGTCGCTCTGGCTGTTCTGTGCAGGCGGCGGTTCTCTGTCAGGCTTGTGCTGTGGGGTTATTAAGTGTCCGTTGGACTGTCCTGTGTGGATTTGACTGTCTGTCGGCTTGTTCCTGGGAGGGGGTATTGCCTGTGCCTTGGGGTGTCACTGTCACGGACGACTTGCCTGGTGTGCTCTCGAGAACAGTGTTTCCAAGTGTTGACTGCCGGGGCCAGGGGGTGGCCAAGCCGAGTGGTTTCACGGCCCACCTCCGGAGCCGTGGGCTCCCCTACCCGGACCTGCCAGGACTGGCCCTGTGGAGGGGCCTTTTCAGCTGCCCTGCCCCCCCACTCCTGGCTCCTGTCTGTCCGTCTGCGGCCAGAGCAGCTCCTCAGGGCACTGGCCCGAGTGGGAGCTACAGCCTCCATTAGCCTCCTGAATTATGCAGCAGCCGTGGTGGGTCGAAGCACTTTAGCAGGACCAGGCTGAGGAGAGGAGCCGGAATGGGTGGGGCCGGCGGGGTGGGGGTGGGGTGGAGGGAGAGGATGGGTGCTCTGAGCCAAGGCTGCTGGGCACCAGGCCCCCAGAGCAAGCCCCTTCCTTCCTGTGGAGTTCTGGTGGGCGATGAGGGCCGTTGCATGCTTGCAACTCCCGGGCCAGCAGGTATTCAGGCGGCTCCCACCCACGCCTGGCTCCACGTCGCCTGGCAGGGCCAGGAGGTCTAGGAGCACTAACAGGGATGCTCACTGGCACTCCATGGAGCTGGGGGATGGGATGGAGCCCCTGGCCCAGCCGACAGGCTCCACTAGAGTGCAGGGCAGGGCAAGCGGGACTGTGCTCCAGAGCCCAAGGCTTGCTCCCTGCCAGGAGGCCGGTGGGCTCATCAGGGAGAGCTTCCTGGAAGCAACACTGGCGCGGCCCTGATTATCTACAGCGTCTGGTCAACACAAGCCCAAATGCCGTCGAGCCCCCTCCCCATGATCCAGACCTGACCTCTGTCACCGTGTCCCCGCAGGTGCCTTGCAGATTGAGAGCAGTGAGGAGTCGGACCAAGGCAAGTACGAGTGTGTGGCGACCAACTCTGCAGGCACACGCTACTCGGCCCCCGCCAACCTATATGTACGAGGTAAGGATGCGGGCAGTGCCCAGCCCTGTCTCCACGGAGCTGAACTGGCCCTGCTGGCCATGCTGTCTGGATCCCTTGCTGGGGACAGTGGGGGCTGCCATGAGCCCCGTTTCTCCTTTTCCCGCCTCTTTCTGCAGCAGCAGGAACAGCCACAGCAGCTCCCACTGGGCATACTCCTGATGGCCGCTGCTACTTTTCCTTCCTTCTCTGCAGGCCCTTTGGGACGCAGCCACTCTTGGGAGTATTTGTATCTCTTGTAGGTTCTGCCTCAAGGGCCCAGAGCCCCACGGGAGTCTAGAGCCTTCCAAGCAGACTTTTCACTGTGGTGTGTGTGTGTATGTGTGTGTGTGTGCACGTGCACGTGCACCAGCAGGCACACATTTGCGTGTAAACATCGAGCATACTTCCCTGGCATTCCTCGAGTCCTTCCTGCCCAGCCCAGCAAGGGGGGCTCCAGGCCAAATGAACCTGCCCTCTGGCCAGGGCTGCCCAGGGTCTTCCTGGAGGAAGAGCCAGCCGCACCCTGTCACCAGCCAGGACCCTTGTATAGAAGGTCAGTGTGAGGCAGCTGTGAGCCCCTGCAGGTGAGCACCTGCTGTGTTTCAGGTGTTCCTTGCTGAGACTTAGTGGATCCTGCATCTTCATCAGCCCAGGTTCCCAGCAGAGAGAAACCTGGAGACTGTTGGGGAGTGTCCAGTGTCTGCTCTGCTCCCAGCCCCAGGGTGACCAAAGCTGGTCACCTGCTACTTCCAGAGAACGTGCTGGGTCTGGTGTGCACAGTGCACCCTCGGAGCCCCTCCTGCCCCCATACCCCGTCACTTAGCCCTTCTGCACAGATGGGCATCATTACAAGTGAAACTCTCCACTCGGGGGATTTGGAAAGGAAAGTGGCCATGGCTTCCTTGCAGCGATGACTTCATCACGCTAAGTGCTTAGTGTAGCTTCTCGAGGGGATCCTCTGCCCCTCCACCCAGGCGGTGTTAGTGGCCTGTCCTACTCTTTGGAGCCACATGGTCAACCATATAGTTATCGAGGAGCTGCTCCGTGTCAGGTTCCCAAGAGGCCAAGGCTACCGGCCCATAGGGTGACAGGCACGTTGTGTCTCAGAGACGACAGACGACACTTCACTGGAGTTGGGGGTGTGGAGTAAGAGGTCCCCACTGGCCCCTCGGTCAGGTGTCCTGCCCCTCAAGGCTTGCCTAAGTGGCCCCAGGGCCTGTCTTAAGGAACAACATCAGGGCAGAGAGGCCAGGGGCCTGAGAGCCACCCAGATGGTGAGATGCGTACAGTGGTGAAGCGCGCGGCCTCCCCCCACACGGCTTCAGACAGAGCGTCCGACAGACACACAGAGCTTGGACGAGTCCCCTCCTAGGGAGGAACGCTAGAACAGCCCTGCTCAGAGACCTGCCTCCTGCCACCTGGACCATTCCAAATGCTACGCGGTCCTGACTGAACACTTTTCCCAAAAGATCATAGGGTCAAAAGAGTGGAGATGCCTCGAAAGCCTTTCGCTGTATGTGGCTGCACCAGGGAGAGGAGTGGCCCAGCAAGGCCACTGAGAAACCCAAGCAAACTGCCTGGGCATGGTCTAATGGACACATTTCCTGGGGCAGAGCTGCAGGGGGCCATACTGAGGCAGGAGGAGGCCCAGATGTAGGTGACGGAGCCTGCGTTATTATCTTGGCTGGGTAGCATTCTCTGAAGTCCCCGTCACGCTGGCCTTGGCCCTGAGGTGAGGCGGTGGGTCTCTCTGGAGGTGAGCTGAGCCCAGCCGCCACAGGTGGCAGCTCGGGTACTAACCAGGGAGCTCCTACCTCCAGCCCCATGTGGTGGGATCAGGCGGGGTCCCGACACCACGCATACGCACAGGTCTTCTGGGCAGTGAGTGTGGGGGTTTCTTTGGTTCTTGACCCACTTGCCAGGGACTCTAAGGCAGGCTGTCCCAGCTTGGCTTTGCTGATCTTTCCCTCTCACACACGTTCCTGCGGACCCGATGTCTGCGGGCCAGTCCTAAGTCTCTGTGCCCAGGACCTGCCTTACAGCCTGGCCTCACCTGCATCTGTACCTGCCCTGTTTTGTCAAGAGCAATTTGCCCTGTAGCCCCAGGACAGGCCCTGCTGAGGAGACCTGGAGACACCTGGAAGCCTCTTCCTAGGACTTTTTGCCTCTGGTGTCCCCACCGCTTCTCATCTCAGTCCTGGCAAAAAGCCCTTGCGTTCTGCTCCCAGCAGTGCTGAGGGCCCATCAGCCCCGGTGCCCCTGAGACCGCCTCTCCCGTGCTGGCCACCAGCTCTGTCCTGAACCCTGCTTGTGAGTGGGCCACCCGTAGAGCAGTCCCCCGGTGCCTGCCCGCCTGCTGCCAGCAGAGCGGCTCTGAGACCTCCTTCCAGAGCAGGCACCTGTTCCCCTCCAGACCAGTGGGCCCCAGCTGTCAGGAGCCTCAACATCCAGGTCCAGGTGGCTTCCAGCCCAGGATTCTCAGCCTCGGCACTGTTGATACTGGGGGTCAGATGACTCTTTGTGACATGGGGCTCTCCTGGGCGTCGTATGATATGTAGCAGCCCGTGTGGCCCCCTAAATGCCAGCAGCACCCCTCGTCCCGAGAACACACAATATCTCCAGACCTTGCCCAGTGTCACCTGGGGGGACCCCTCCCCGCCCTGGACGTTGGGAACCGCTGATCTAGATGGACAGCCTCCTGCCAATATTCAGCTCCCTTCACCTCCCTCTTCTCCCGCTGTGTCCACTGTGTCCACTGGGCTCAAGGCTACGTCTCCTCCTTGGATTTGTCTTCAGTGCCTCACATCCTATGTCACCCAGACTCTCAGGGCTCCGCTGTCTCTCTGAGCCCCTGCGGCTGCCGCTGATGCTCCCGGCACAGTGGCAGGCACACAAGAAGCGCTTGGCGGCCACTGACCACTGCTGCCGTCAGGATAGCTGTCGGGGGATGCGTCATCCGGTTACATCTGCCTTTGCTCACGGTTGCCCGCAGCTCCACCCGCGGTCCAGCAGGCCCAGGCAGGCTGGGTGGACCAGCCTCTCTGTGTCACTATCCATCTCCCTCCGAGTGACTCACCCTCTCCTTGTATCCACAGCGTCTCTTTTCTCCAGCTCTCAGGACGCAGAGCTGCCAGGGACCAGGGCGTGCCGTGCCCTGCCTGCCCCCGACCTTCCCCTTCTCTGCAGGGAGCTGGCTGCTGGCCGCAGCTGTCTCTAAACAGGGCAGCGTCCCCACAGCCTTTCTCCCCATAGGTGCCCAGACCAGCTCCTCACCCTGCTGCCCTGCAGTGTGGGGCTTCCTCAAGGTGGTGGGAATCTAGTGGCCCCTGTGCCTTGGTGGGTTTGTGGGCTGGGGGGGCCCCAACTTGAGCCCAGCTCACTGGGTCTGCCGAGCCATGGGGTGTGCGTGACGCATGGGGGCCCGCCTGTGCTCCCCTTCCACCCCTCCCTGTCCCGCCCTTGGCATCCTGGCACCTGCCAGCGGGACCCAGCCCTGTCCACCGTGTCCTCCATGAGTCCTGAGTCTTTCGTGAGCGGCGTGGTCCGTGCGCAACTGCGTGCACGTGCGTGTGCGTGGGGCACAAGAGTCTTGTCTCGTGTCCGTGCTGTGTGGGCAGATGAAGGTTGGCCTGTTTTTACTCTCTCTGTGTTTCTCCTTGTCTTTTTTTTATTCCCTCCTCATCCTCATCGCACTCTGCCATCAACCCAAACTCTCATCTCTCAGATCAGCGAGAAGGTTGGTCCTTTTCACTTCTTATCCATCTACAGTTCGCCCGTCGATGGGATGCTCCCGTCAGTAGGGACCAGCGGGCTCGGTCAGCTCCCTCGGGCTCGCTCCAGCCAGGCCTGCCCGCCAGTCGGGCTCTGCTCTCCGTTGTTTGGGCTGGCAGGCCGGCAGGACTAGGGGTGGGTGGGCAGGCCCCCTGCCCTGCATGTTTCTGCTGCTTGAGTCCCTGATGTGCCAGTGTCTGCATGTCCCCTTAGCTGGGCTCCCCTGCAGGGGTGGTCAGGCAGGCATGGTGCATGACATGAAACTGTGCCCCCCGTTATGCCTGGGTCGGGCCAGCTGTCTGTTCCGGGTGGGGCCCAGGAGTGGTTGGGGGAGCCGTGAGAGCTGTAGTGCATTACGTGTGCCTCTGGGACCTTCCACAACCTCATTGCCTAAACTCTGCCTTAGCCCGAGCTCAGCTGCAGCCACTTGTGAAGACGAAGGGGATAGACTAATAATCTAGAATGAGCTCACGCCTCAAGGTCCTGCAGCACAGGACAAAAGTCCCTCAGGTCTGCCGTGACCTTGAGGTCCCCGCAGAGCTCAGTGGGGCAGCCAGCCCTGGTCTGCCTCATGAGGCTTGGTGTCCATGGCACGGGTTGGTGGCATCATGTTAGGCACGGAGGAAATCCACACTATTGTCTTTTTCCTCCCCGACCTGAGCCAAATGAAGATCTTGCCACCTGCCCTAGGCTCCTCCGCCCAGGCCCTCCCAGCCCGCTCCGTTTCCTCAGGCCTGTGCTGGGTGCTGAGCACTCAGGTTCACGGAGCTCACAGCTGAGGAACGGTTGACGGAGACTTAGTGAGGTCCACGTGGGGCCCCCGGAGAGGCCCCAGCCCGGCCACAGATTGGGGAGGGCTCCCAGGAGCCCCTGCTCTAGCTCACCCCAGAGCATTCTCACATGGGGCTCAGTTCTCAGCCCCACCCAGGTCAGACTTCTGCCCCAGCCTTGGGGCTGGCAGCAGGGGCTAGCGGTCATTCTTGGGGCACATGGTCCAAGCGGTCAGACGAGACTCACTTGTCCACTGGGCTTTGGGCTGAGTCCCAGGGAGCAGGCCTGGGCCACCGGCTCCCCCTCTGGCATCATATCTCCTTGGCTTGGGTTTCCTCCATGAGGGAGAAGGGAGCCAATGGGGAGGAGGGCTGTGGCCTGAGCTCAGATATCAGCCCTGAGCATCCATCCATATGCACTCTTGAGCTCTGGGGCATTTCGGTTTCACCATTTCGCTGACCTGGCGGATCTGCTGGGGCGTTCAGAAAGCAGTCATCAGCAGAGACAGCCCAGCCCTCAGCCACCTCCCCCTACACCCCTCCCCGCCACCTTCCCGGTCCCTGGTCCCTTCTCCCCCTCCCCCTCCCTGGTCCCACCAAAAATAAAGCGCGTATACAAATATTTAACGGGAAGGCAGAAATGAGTTTCTAAATATTCCAGGGGGATTTGCCGGGCTGGTAATTTGTTTGGCGCTGATAATTACATCTTACATTTTTCCAGCTTTACTTAAAACTGTGTGCCGAGTGCGCCGGCATTTAATTACTGCTCTGCGGCAGCCACAAGGTTATTTATTAAAGAGTTATTTTATCTTGATACAGTGGATCCTGCCCCTTATCCCCTCCTTAATGTTGTGTTATTTTCATCAGAGAAATTTCTGCGAGCGAATGCAGATTGCGGGGCTGCCTCCCCCTGCGATTATGCTGTCACTCTGCTGAATGCTGATGCCTCCGGGCGCCACACCGCCCTATTATATGGGGTTGTCAGCGCAAATAATTAGACTTAAAAGTTACAGCTGAAATATAATCCAGAAATGGCAGAGCCCTGTTTTGGAAATTGTCTATAAAATGTCAGCAGTAAGGATGCACGGGGAACAGTAATAGACCGGCATTGTTGGAGGAGCCCAAGATTAGACCCTAAGTGCGTTTTTTTCCCCGGCTCTGGTTTTTTTCTTCCCTGCTGTTGCTTCTGTCAATAGACTGAGTCCAGGGCGAGTCCTGCTCCCTCTTGGTGGCCTCGTGTCTGGGCCAGCGGGAGGAGTGCTGGTGGGGCTGCTGCAGGGAGGCTCCAGCCGCTCCTGGCTCTTAGGATGGGGGTGGCTGTCCAGGCAGGTGCAGGACACAGGGCCCCACTGGCGCTCAGGATCCCAGGAGGGTGTGTCTTCCCTCTCTTGCCCCCACCCTCCCTCTGTGGACATACCCTAACCTCCGTCACACTGCAGGGAGGATGAGCCTGAGCTGTGGGGAATCGCACCCCAGAACTCCTTTTATATGTGCCTGGAGCCCAGTGTTCTGGTGAGAGCATCAGCGGGGGTGCCCCCAGCAGTCTCTGGGCTGGAAGCCCTTGCCTGGTCCTAGGGATGATTCAAAGGGTCACATCTGACCTCTCAAACTCATCCTTAGCCCCTGGACTTCTCCCTTCTACCTGCATGGAGGAGGGGAAAAATAAAACTAAAAGCAAAACTATTCCCAATGTTTGTTCTGAAAGACCTCCATTACTTGGTGGTGGAACAGAAGGCTTTGCCCGCCCCTGGACCACTTGGAGTACGGTCCTATCCGCCTTCTGGACTGCTTAGGTTGGGACCCGAGGTGTATTGGCCAAGGACCTACTTCCTTTCTGTGGGGCGCTTTGTTTTTCTCCCCAGGGACTAATCAGGCCCCAAGATTTCTTTTAAGATTTTGTTTATTTATTCATGAGAAACATAGAGAGGAGAGAGAGAGAGGCAGAGACACAGGCAGAGGGAGAAGCAGGCTCCATGCAGGGAGCCTGACATGGGACTCGATCCCGGGTCTCCAGGATCACACCCCAGGCTGAAGGCGGCGCTAAACCGCTGAACCACCAGGGCTGCCCGGCCCCAAGATTTCTGCCACTGGCCAGGGTCACACCTGCCGCCATGACCTCTCCTGACGCAGGCTCCTCCAAGCCCCGTCCTGCCAACTGGAGAATACCTTCCACCAGCCTTGACTATCCAGAAGCTCCAGAAGCTTCTCCCTGGAGCCTCCTCAGCATCTTTTTTCCACCCTATCAGTCAGGCCTTAAAAGGCCGTGAGCTTTTGATCCCACTGATGACCTCCTGATAATACATAAACCCAGGCACGTCACTTAAAAAGTATCAGTCTTACATCCATTCCCTTGTCTGCCATCGAGAGGTGATGGGATCTACAGCAAGGAAGCCTGCCTCATGTAGCAGGAGCTCAAGAGCGGTTTCCCTTCCCTGAGGCTGTTCTGATGCCTGTGAACCAAGAGATGGGCCGCCCCTGGCTAAAAATAAAGACCTGATGACTTAAGGCTGCGCCCCTCTGCCTTTCTGCTCCAGCCAGGGCTGAGCTGGACCCCTGGCCAGCAGATAGACCCGCCTGTCCCCCAGGCCCAGCTCCAGAGCTCGGGGAGGGCACGCAGCACCAGGCTGGGTGACATGTCTGTCCATGCCTCCTGGTCTCACTCTGGTGCCATTTGAGGGAGTGCTGAACGGTGCTCTGGCATGGGGCCCTCCTGCCAGCCGTGCCCAGGACCCACCTACTGCCTGCCATGCGGAAGTGTCTACCCATGACATGTTGTCATCATTCCATGGGGGACTCCCAGCTTTGGGACAAGTGACAGAAACAATCAGCTTAAGCAAAACAAGGAGATTCTTGTCTTACCCAACTAAAATATGTAGAAGTAGATTTGGTGTCAGGCAGGGCTAGATCCAGATATTTAAGCAGTTTGATCAGGCTTTTCTGTTTGTCTCTTAACTCTGCCCTCCACAATAGACTCCTTTATTCTCTAGCATGTGCTCCCATGTGTTAGGAAAGGTGGGCCTCAGTTCCTCTCAGGTCGGCTCCTGCAGTACAGAGGGAAAGTCGTTTTTCTAATGGTCTTTGCAAAAGTCCACAGGCTACATCTCGTTAGCCAGATCTGGGTCACGTGTTCCACTTAGCAAGACTAGGGTGGGGAGAGGTGGTTCCTCTAAAGAAAACAAGGCCAGGGGATCCCTGGGTGGCGCAGCGGTTTGGTGCCTGCCTTTGGCCCAAGGCGCGATCCTGGAGACTCAGGATCGAATCCCACGTCCGGTTCCCGGTGCATGGAGCCTGCTTCTCCCTCTGCCTGTGTCTCTGCCTCTTTCTCTCTCTCTCTCTGTGACTATCATAAATAAATAAATTTTAAAAAATAAAAAAAAAAAAGAAAACAAGGCCAGTTCTAGAAGGTAGAACACGAGATGTCCATGAGATGCACCGAAGCCCCCAGTGAGCCTGTGGCACAGAGGGAACTCAGCCCACGGTGCCAGTCGCACGTGGCTTGCTTGGGGGTGCTGTGTGGAGGCCTCGGAGTGAGGCTGAGTGAGGAATCCCTCAGGGAACCGAGCAGGGGTTTTTAACAGAGAAATGCGAGCAGACTTGCTTGTTTGTGGGGGGCCGGTTCTGGGAGAGAGCCGCCCAGTGCGTCAGCACAGGGAGAGATGGAGGGGCTGAGGCTCTGGTGGGGCAGTAGCCTCTGGGGTTGGTTCACTCCAAGGCATTTCTTTTTCTTTAAGTAACTCTACCCCCAACCTGGGGAACCTCTGGGTTTGGAGAGAAATTACTGGGTTGGAAAGATGCCTTCGGGCCATCCGTTAACAGGTGATTCCTTGGGTGTCTAGGCTCTGGGCCACAGCTTGACCCCTGTGGCAGTGAGGTCAGGGGTTGGACAAGATGGTGTCTGTAGTTACTACTTCCAGCTCTGATTTTGTGGTTTGGGGCTACACGAGCAGCAGAGTCTGGAACCCATAGCGGAGGTGCTCCTGATGGGACAGCATGGGTCCTTTGCATGCCGGGCGCCCCAGCAAGGGTCCTGGGAGACCCACACACACTCTCAGTGAGGCCGTTTGGTCACTCTGCCTCACTGCCTGCCTCCTCCAGCCCTGTTGGTAGGGGTTCCCACGAAGGACACACTTCAGCCCCTGCCCACCAGCTGCATGACCCGTCAGCACGCCAAGCATGCCTGCCCATGGCTAGGTCTTGCCTGACTTCCCTCCCTCTGCATGTTCCAAATGTTTGTGCCAAGCTTGCAACTTTGGGGGGGTTCCAGGCTGCACCTTGGCCTGGGAGGCTCAGAACAGTTTCTGGCCTGGGAAGCCCAAGGCTGGAGGTCGTGGCCAGGCACAGCCACCCTCTCCCTTGAGACCCTTGTTCATTGGCTCAGAAAGCCGTCTGTTCGGCGCCCTCATCATGTTACTGCCATCATCATGCCCATCCTGCCCGCGGACCACGTCCCTGGCCTGCCCTGGTCCCTTGCCCCTGCCCACCCTCTTCTGAGGGGCAGCCCTTCCCCTGGAGTTCCCAGGCTGTGCCTTAAGCATGGCTGAGATCCTGACAGGCGATTATGCCCCTGCCCTCATCTCTTCCCTCAGGTCACGGCCCAGAGGTGGAGGCCGTGACTCTAGAGAAGGTGGCCACGTCACTCCTGGACCAGCCCTGTGCCCTGCCCCAGATGCTCTGAGGTCCTCCACCCTACAGTGCCTGGACTTCACTCGTGCCCCAGTGAGCCCCTCTGGAGGCCCGTAGTGGGGGTCAGGAGCAAGTAGGGGCAGGCACCGGATGGCGACCCAGAATGTGGCCCTGAGGAGGCCCGCGGTATAGACCTGGGGCCTGGACCTTGCGCTGAATCCCTGTGTGACCCTGGGTAGACAGCACATTTCTAGGCCTCAGTTTCCTAGGCTGTAAAACGGGGGAGCTTGGTTGTGGAATCTCTTGTGTTCCATTCTCTTGAGTGTTGGGGGCTACTTGTAGCCAAAAGTGGGGTGGGAAGTGGTAAGCCGGGGCCCCGGGACTCCGCCCCACCTGTCTCTCAGGTGGGTTTGGCTCTGACAAGAGGGGCTTCCTGGATGAGGGGCCCCTGCCCTTCAATCCTCCCGAGTATCTTGCCCGGCCTGTGAGTGCCTCTCTCCCTCCTCCTGCAGTGCGCCGTGTGGCTCCTCGTTTCTCCATCCCTCCCAGTAGCCAGGAGGTGATGCCGGGTGGCAGCGTGAACCTGACTTGTGTTGCGGTGGGGGCACCCATGCCCTACGTGAAGTGGATGATGGGGGCCGAGGAGCTCACCAAGGAGGATGAGATGCCAGTTGGCCGCAACGTGCTGGAGCTCAGCAATGTTGTGCGCTCTGCCAACTACACCTGCGTGGCCATCTCCTCTCTAGGCATGATCGAGGCCACGGCCCAGGTCACAGTGAAAGGTGAGTGCCACGTGCATGCCTGCTGTGGCCTAAGACCTGCCTTGGTGCAGAGGGGGTGACGGGAGGTCCCAGCACCCGTAGCAGGTGAGCATGGCTGTTGTGGGGATGAGTGAGGTTGAGGGGTGGTTGCCCTCTCCCAGGTGCCTCCTGGGGTCCTGCCGGCCCTCGGTGGAGAGAGGGGTTTCTGTCATTCGTGGTGTTAGTAATAATAGTTAATAATAACGGGTACTGAGCTCCTGGGGGCAGATGCTGTACTGGTTAGCACAGATTGTTCAGTCTCTGTTACGCTGGGAGGTAGACGTTCTCATTCTCTTCTTACAAATGAGAGAACTGAGGTGCAAGGTCATGCGGGAGTCAGTGACAGGGCGGGGACTTGAACCCGCGGGGGTCTGATGCCGCAGAAAGGCCCCCGAGCCACGACCTGGCGCCAGACCCTCAGCTTCATCAGCCTCACGTCAAGGCTGCAGTGAAAGAGTGGCCACAGGGAGTGGGCTCTCCACCACGGCCCCGGGATGGGCACGCACACTCCTCCAGGCTTCGTGCTTCCATCCTCCTTCCTCAGACCCATCCTCCATTCTGCAACTAGAATGATCTTTTGAAGATACAAAGCAAGATCTCCCCACTGTTTTAAGAAACTGCCTTCCAGTGACTTCCCATTGCTTTCAGGGTAAAGAGCGGGATCCTCACTCCCCTTGCCTGGCCCTCCTGGCTCTGCTGGGTTCCTCCCGGCCCTCACCCAGCCCTCGCCGTGCTGGTCCTCTCACTGTCTGGGCCTCAGCTCTCTGAGGCCTTCGTGGATTTTCCCCAGCTCAGCATCCCGCTCTCTGCTGTCCTCGCATGCACCAGAGTCATGGTTACGGACTCGGTGCTTTCCACTCACCCTAGAATGTAAAGTCCACCAGAGCAGGGATGTGACCAACCGTGTGACCTCGTGTCCCCAGCCCAGCACCTACCTATCAAGTGGGCACTTGATAATTGTGTAATGTTTGGCCTGGGATCTGGGACTGTTCCACCTTCAATTTGAGCCAAGCCACAGGTGTGTAGGGCCAGCAGCCCCATCCAGGCTGTCCTCTTAGGCACATCTCTCCCCGACACCAGCCCCAGTTACACATGAGGAAGCGCAGGCAAGCCCCAGAGGCAGACCTCTGCCTCCCAGCCGGCGCGCTTTCCATCTGCAGGGACCCGGCCAGGCCACGCCACCTCTGGGGCTGTTGTTAAGTGAGGAGCCAGTGAGTTCTAGAAGTGATGTGGGTAGACCCTAGATGACCGAAGGCCCCTGAGGGCTCTGACAGGTGTCGCCATCCCCTGCTAGGTGCCCTTTGAGGTCACCTCGAGCTCCCCAGGCCATTTTTCAGGGAGGCCCGTGGGGGCCAGCTGTACCGTGGGTAGTTAACACCCGGAGCAGGATTGGCCTCTGGGGTCCTGACCTCGGGCAGTTCTGAGCCTCCCGCTTTGTCGCCCAGCTCTGCCGAAACCTCCAGTCGACCTCCTGGTGACTGAGACAACTGCCACCAGTGTCACCCTGACCTGGGACTCTGGGAACTCAGAGCCTGTGTCCTACTACGGCATCCAGTACCGCGCAGCAGGGACGGAGGGCCCCTTCCAGGAGGTGGACGGCGTGGCCACCACCCGCTACAGCATTGGCGGCCTCAGCCCCTTCTCCGAGTACGCCTTCCGCGTGCTGGCGGTGAACAGCATCGGCCGGGGACCACCCAGCGAGGCAGTGCGGGCGCGCACGGGGGAGCAGGCGCCCTCCAGCCCCCCACGCCGCGTGCAGGCACGCATGCTGAGCGCAAGCACCATGCTGGTGCAGTGGGAGCCGCCCGAGGAGCCCAACGGCCTGGTGCGAGGGTACCGCGTCTACTACACTCCCGACGCCCGCCGCCCCCTGAGCGCCTGGCACAAGCACAACACGGACGCGGGCCTCCTCACCACTGTGGGCAGCCTGCTGCCCGGAATCACCTACAGCCTGCGCGTGCTGGCCTTCACCGCCGTGGGCGATGGCCCTCCCAGCCCCACCATCCAGGTCAAGACGCAGCAGGGAGGTGGGTGCGGGCAGCACGCCGGCCTGGCCACTGCGGCGGGGCCTTGGGGGCTGGGGGAGGCTGAGGGCCTTTACCCGGCCGTGCGCGGTCACCTGGGATGTGGGACAGGGTCCCGGGGCTGTCTTCCCGTGCCTCCTTTCTCCGGGTGCCCCTGGCCCTCGCGGGGAACCGGCGAGGCTCACGGTGCCTGGCGTGGGGGTGTTGCAGTGCCTGCCCAACCGGCGGACTTCCAGGCTGAGGCAGAGTCGGACACCAGGATCCAGCTCTCGTGGCTGCTGCCCCCGCAGGAGCGGATCATCAAGTACGAGCTGGTGTACTGGGCAGCAGAGGATGAAGGCCAGCAGGTGGGTGTTCAGCGGGGACAAGAGCAGGGAGGAGGGCTCCCCTGGATCCCGTAGGCTCTGTGCGGGGCTCCCCCAGGCAGACTTTCTGGATCCTGTGGTTGTACGGACATGGCCCCCAGGGGTGGCCCTGGGGCTCACGTGGCCAGCGTGGTTCTATAGTCTTTGTCCCCGCTACTGGGCGACAGTCCCTCGGTCTGCCCTTGGGTCTCTCCGGCTCTGCGGCTTACCTGGCACTCACAGAGCTGTTGTCTCAGATGCTCATGGCCACAGAGTCTGTGCAGTGGCCGTGTGATGTGGAGGCGGCCCTAGGCCACAGTGGGTCCACAGGGGCCAGCCGCAGCCCAGGTTGGGGAGCAGCCTGTGAGGTCAGAGTGGTCAGTGAGTGCTCCCTGCTCTTCCAGCACAAGGTGACCTTCGACCCCACCTCCTCCTACACCCTGGAGGACCTGAAGCCTGACACACTGTACCACTTCCAGCTGGCCGCCCGTTCCGAGATGGGGGTGGGCGTGTTCACCCCCACCGTTGAGGCCCGCACAGCACAGTCCAGTAAGTGTCTCCTGAGGCTACGCCTCCTGTAGCTGGGCCGGGGCAGAGACACACACGCCCTTCCCCCTCGACCGGGGGTGGGGGGTCAGGTCTGCTGGGCCCCGGATGGGCTCTTGTCTGGGCTCCGGGTCTGGACTCACAGGGGCAGGTAAGTTCCCACTAGTCTGTGTCCAGGCAGTTGCTGCCCACGCCGTTCCCCACCCGACTTCTGTCCCTCCCTCCCCCAGCCCCCCACCAGGTAAGTTCTGTGTCTGTGACTCATCCCCCTCCCCCGCCCCCACCTGTCTGCGCTGGTCACACTAGCTGACTGGGCCATGCTCAGCGCTGGGACAGCCACGCTTGCCATGTCTCAGACATGACCTCGCTCTGGCAGCTGTCCTCCTGCTCCATATCCCCACATCTCATCTCCCCTGTCACCTGCATTCCCTGCCTCATGCCCCGCACCACGAGAGGAACATGGGAGCTGTGTCATCACACTGAGCCCACGGCACGTAGGGACATGTCTGTGAGAACGAGCCCGGGTGGCAGACTGTCCACGTGCCTGCCTTAGGACCACGCGGCCTTCCGCGTGTGGGGCTGCCTGCTGTGTGGTTATCGTATTCCTGTGTACGTGAGACTAGTGCTGTGGACCTGCGTGTGACCCCGTGTGGCCACCTGGTGGGGCCGCACCCATATGAGTGTCTGGTGTGCCATGGGATTGGGTGGCCGTGAGGCTCTGTGTGCTAACAGGGGCCGTGGATGTGTGGCTGGACGAGATCATGACATTGAGGCAGTTACAGCACATGTGACAGCCTTAAACATGGCAGTGTCTGTGAAGCGGTCCATGTGCCCCCAGACTGTGTAGATGTGACCCCGTGTTCACGGATCTGACTTACAGGCACCTGCTGCGCTCCCACTGTGCCCCTGCACGGAGCAGGGCTGGCAGCATGACCCCGATGTGGCCTGTACCTGCAGGGAATCCTAGTCTAGTGGGGCAGATAGATGTTCAACCTGCAATTATCCAAATGAGCTTTTAATTACATTTGTCTGAAGTGCTGCGGAGGAGACAAACAGTGGAGAGGTGCTGGGATGGGAGCTTCATCTGGTCTGAGGGGGCCAGGGGGGCTTCCTTGGGTGATGTAGGCCTCATGCAGAGGGGCAGCAGGTGCAAAGACCCTGAAGCGGGAAGGCACTTAGTTGTGGTTTGGGATGAGCAGCAGGCCATGGCAGCTGGCCACGGGTTGAGAAGACAAGACAGGTAGGAGGGCCGACCCAGCTGCTGGGCGAGCATGCACGGGACAGCCCAGCAGGATGCCGGACACCAGCTGGGAGGCTGTGCAAGAGTCTAAGCAAAAGACGGGAGCTCAGATGTAGTGATGGTGGTGGATCAGATAGCCGTCTGGGGTGCCAGCTGCCTGGGACTCGGTGACGGCTTGGCTTTCGGATGCTGAGCGAAAGGAGAGCATCAGGCGAAGTCTGTGCTTCTGGTGTACAGACCTGGGAAGAGGGCAGGAAGTAGGGCCGAAGCAGGCACCTCAGCCCGGGGCCTTGTGCCAGCCGTGCAGGTGGTGATGCTGGGCTAGGGGTGAGGGACCCTGAGGACAAGGACCAGAGGTAGTGGGAAATCCCAGAGAGGGGAGTGTCTCGGAGCCTGGAAGAAGAGAGCAGAAGGAACAGAACCGATGCTGCTGCTGAGCAGTCAGGGCCAGAGGAACGCAGGAGGCAGGAGCGTCTGCTGGATGGAGGACCTGGGGCGAGGGTTGTGAGGCCTAGCCGGAGGGAGGGGACTGCTGTAGGTGGAGGCTGAGTGCTGTGGGCCCAAGGATGGGCTTTTGTCTTTAAAGATAGGAAATTTTTGAGCTTTTTTTTTTTTAAGATTTTATTTATTTATTCATGAGAGACACACACAGAGAGAGAAGCAGAGACACAGGCAGAGGGAGAAGCAGGCTCCCTGCAGGGAGCCTGACTTTGGACTCCATCCCGAATCTGCAGGATCAGGCCCTGGGCTGAAGGCGGCGCTAAACCGCTGGGCCACCGGGGCTGCCCTTGAGCATGTTTAAACGTGGTGAGGAATGAGTCAATTCGGAGAAGTCGAAAATTCAGGAAAGACAAGGATTTTGGAGGCTCAGGAGGTAGGGGGAGGGGACAGCATGGATGGGAGAGATCCACCTTGGACAGGAGAGCACAGCTCCCTCCTCGTGGGAAGCAAGGGCGGCTCAGCGAGATTGCAGTTGTTCGGTGGGTTTGGTAGCAAGAGATGGAGGAAGCTGCTGGTGGGAGGCTTCAGTTTTTTCTGCAAAGTGGGAGACAGTTATGTGCTGAGAGCTGGAGGTTAGCGGAGCGTGGAGGAGGTTGAAAACGTTCTGTGTACAGCAGCAGAGTGAGCTGGGCAGAGAAGAGAGGCCGCAGACAGCACACAGGGCCCAGGTAAGGCTACTGGGGACTTTGCACACAGGATGCCAGCCTTCCAGGGCAGGCAACGCTTTTCCACCTGCCTCAGGACCGACCGCCTTGGAGAGGGCAGAGGGTTGGACCCATCCAGGGCTTGGCACCGGCCGGGCAGGGGCGTGGAAAGAGAAGTAAGTGAGGGAGTTGGGGGTAGATGGTGAGGTGCAGACCTCAAGGTCAAAGCCCAATATTGAGGGCGGTAAGGATGGTAGGCGAACGGGCAGAGGTCGCAGGGGGGCGAGGAGCCAGGGTGCTGCTGGGCACCTTGAGCAGCTGAGCTGGCACAAGGTGAGGGTCTGCGAGGGGGTGTGGGAGGCCATGTGCAGGGAGTAGGACCATCCTGAGCGTGGCGATACCCAGGGTGTGCCCACTGTGGTGCAGGGAAGGAGAAAGCCGTGGAGATGAGGGCCTCAGAGGCCGGGGAGGGAGGTGCCCAAGTCACCCTGGCACAGTGTGGGGCTGCAACTCCAGATGGTGAGGAAGCCACGTAACAGCACCAGGTTCCTTGGTGGGACTGAGGCCTGGATATGCCCGTGGGGGCGAGGGAAGGGGGCCCAGATCTGCTTCCTGACCCCAGGGGACTCACTGAGGGAGAGCATCTCCATAGAGTACATTTTCTCCAGATTACCCAAGGCCATGGGCCTCCTTCCCATCCAGCCTCCAGTCTCAGGTTCCTAGTGGCTCTGGCACAGGCACCCTGTCCACGTAGGCACAGGCCACGGCTCCCTTGTGCCTGAAGAGCCACTAAGGCTGCTCGTCCTGACAGGAGCTGTGGGCACAGCAGCTAGAGGTTCTCCTTGCGTGGCTGTGTGTGTGACCAGGGGCCCAGAGGCCCAGGGGCCAGGGAGTCATGACCCATGCTTGTGTGTACTTTGCAGGGTTTGATGCAAGGTTTAATGCGAGATGGCATACGTGCGGGAGAGACCTTGTGTGTGTGTGTGTGTGTGTGTGTGTGTGTGTGTGTGTGTGTAGCCTGTGGTCCAGAGGGAGCCGGGCTGTCTGGCGGCAGTGGCAGCCTGCCTAGGAGGGGCCCTGGGATAGCCACTCTGCACTCAGGGAGTAGCCTGCCTGGGTGAGTTTCCCATCCTCTGTGACTAGTCACTGTGCCCGTGACCCCCACCCTCCATCTGCCTGCTTCCCCCCATTTGTCTTCCCCAGCCCCCTCAGCCCCTCCCCAGAAGGTGACCTGTGTGAGCACGGGCTCCACCACGGTTCGGGTAAGTTGGGTCCCGCCGCCAGCCGCCAGCCGCAACGGCGTCATCACCCAGTACTCGGTGGCCTACGAGGCAGTGGACGGCGAGGACCGAGGGCGGCATGTGGTGGAGAGCATCAGTCGCGAGCACTCCAGCTGGGACCTGGTGGGCCTGGAGAAGTGGACGGAGTACCGGGTGTGGGTGCGGGCGCACACTGATGTGGGCCCCGGCCCGGAGAGCAGCCCGGTGCTCGTGCGCACAGATGAGGACGGTAGGCCGTGGCGCCAAGGGGAGGGGCGGGGGAGGGAGGCACCCCTCCCAGATACCCCCACAGCACCCCAGGGCCTTCGCCTGGTGCAGGCTTGATAGCCCACGCTGGGGGAATGTAGCAGAGGGGGATAGCCTGTGCCCGAATCCCAGGCTTTGGGGCTAGCTAGCTCCAAGGCAGAAGCAGCGGCCCCTCCCAAAGGTCCTGGAGGTTGAGACTGGGGAGACTGATGCAGGAGACGCTCAGAGCACAATCAACTAGACTCGGTCTTAGCCAGACATCGGCACGATGTGGGGGCCCAGGAGGAGATGGAACAGGTCGTGCTTGACTCCGGGGTGGCCGAAGGCCTGGTGCCTCACCACCACTCTCCCCACCAAGTGAGGTAGCTCAGGGCCGGGGTCGGCTGGGTTTCCCTGTGCTAGGCACCCGGGACAGACGGTCTGTAGAAGCCGTATCAGGGCCTTTCCGGGGGCAGGGAGTGCAAAGGCAAGGCCCTGGAGTGTCTGTGCCCCCCTGCAAATCAAGGTCCATACCGCCAGGCCTGACTCTCCCCTCCCCCTGGTCCCCAGTGCCCAGTGGACCGCCACGGAAGGTGGAGGTGGAACCACTGAATTCCACTGCTGTGCGTGTCTCTTGGAAGCTGCCCGTTCCCAGCAAGCAGCACGGCCAGATCCGCGGCTACCAGGTCACCTATGTGCGGCTAGAGAATGGCGAGCCCCGTGGCCCACCCATCATCCAGGACGTCATGCTGGCTGAGGCCCAGGTGTGCCACTGGGAGGTGGCGGGTGGAAGGGTGGACAAGACCAGCCTGCTGGTCTACCTCTTTGGAGCCCACGTCCTCAGAGGACGGAGACACCCAGATACCCTGCTGCGTCAGGCTGGGGAGGTATCAGACCAGGAGGTCAGGGCTAGGTGCCAGGGACACCCCCTCTTCTGTCTTGGGTCTACCTGAGGCATGCCAGCCCAGGCCCCGCCAGGCCCCTGGTGACTGTCCCAGTCTGGCAGTCCCCTCTGTGACTAGCAGATACCAACACAGGCAGCAAGGAGCCCAGACCCCGGCTCCCAGTGTACACCCCCCGCCCCCAGCCTGGGCTTCAGCTCCCCCCGGACCCTCCTTTGTGTTTTGCAGAGAGCACGTTCACTGTCGATTAGGCTGGGATCTGTGATCCGCCTTCCTCCTCAGCGGTGCCGGGCTGGGCAGCTGTTCCCATCCTGTCCCAGCCAGGGCAGGGAGAGTGCTCCCGCAGTTGCCGGTCCCCACTTGGCCTTTGGCCATGGCACTTTTGTGAACGGCTGAGCCAGGGTGTTGCTCTGTGCCTGGCCCCGCAGGAGGATGGCTCAGCCCCTGGTGTTTACGCTCAAGATCTAGGCCTGGCCGCCAGCCTCATGTGTTCCTCTGTGTGTGTCTGTTCTCCAGGAGATAATGATTTTTGCCTGTGAGCTTGGGGTGAGGTCCCTAGGGTGTTCTGAGCACTGGTTCGTGATTCAGGGCAAGAATCTGGGATACTGGGAGATTACGTGAATGGCCCAGAATCTCCCAGGAAGTAGGTGGCTGAGCTTGGACAAGAACCGACTCTGAACTCCTGGAAAGGGCTGTGAGTGCTGTGGCGAATTTTCTCCCCAAATACTCTGCTGAAGAGTCCTAACACCTGGTGTGGTCTGCCTTCAAGGTGTCCCCAGCCAGAACCAGGGCCCTGGGAGGGGACCCGCAGGGCAGCACTGAGCCGGCCCTGGCGGCGGGGGAGAAGGAGCCCAGATTCCCTTCAGAGACCACACGCCTTCCCCATCCAGCTTTCCAGCCCTACGTGGGCTGGGCCTAGAGGTGATGGGGACAGACCCCCTATTCTACATGCTGTGCTCAGGGTGAGCTCACCCACATAAAAAGACCCCCTTCATGCCTCCGGCTGGGCTTAGCCCTCTGAGGCAACATTCCTCTCTGGCCAGAGGGTCCTGTCTTCCTCTCCTCAGCCTGCCCAGTGCTGAAGGGGGTACGGGGGTGGAGGAGGTGGACATGCGCACCCGCCTGCATTCCTGGGGCAGGTCGAGAACTCCTCCTGGAGCCTCCACGACACGCCCGCCCAGAAACATCCCAGGAATGGGCTCCCTCCAGCCCCTCCCATCCTAGGGGGCTAGCGACACAGCTGTGCCAGTGGGATTACCCTTTCAGGTGCCCCTTCTGGTTCTAAGTGGTCAGAAGGGAGCTGGGCCATGGGAGGAGGGACACCGTCCTTGTGACCTCAGACATCCCACAACAGGGGGGCAGACATGAGCTCCAGGCTCCAGGAAATCCAGCTGAAGATGGAGGGCCTGCCCTGTGACTCCCTGAGATTGGGTCATTCTGCTCCAAGCCTGGAGGAGAGCAGATGGGGCCTAGTCCCCAGCCTGGCCACAGGGCCCAGCTGTCCCCTGACCATCTTGTCAAGGACACCACAGCCTGTCCTCCTTTACCCAGCAGCTGCCCCACCTGCTTAGGCCAGGGCTCCCCTCAGTTCTGGAAGTACCATGGGGGTCACACTCTCCTCAAGTGTGTGGCCAGACCTGTCACCTTTTATGTATTGGAGTTGTACACTCCATCTCAGGTCTGTTCTCACAGCATGTTTTCCTTCCCTCCCTCCCTCCTTCCCTCCCTCTGTGTCTCCTCTCTTTGGCTGTGTCCACCTCGTCTTCTCCCTTCCGCCACTCCCTTCCATCCTCTGTCCTTCCATTTTGCTTCACCCGCTTTGTCTTTCCTCCTTCTCACTCCCTTTGCCTCCGACACAGGAGAGGTGCTCTGTGAGGACCTTCATTCATGCCCAGGCCTGGCTTGGACAGCGAGAGGTTCCCCCCATCCCCCGACGGGGAACCTAGACCAGAGGTGGGCCCAGCCACACCCTGGAAAGTGGACATGGCCCGCAGGGACCCATCGATGGCCTCCTGCCATATCCTGTCCCATGCCCCTTTCAAGGCCTTTCCAACGGCTTCCCAGAGCAGGAGAAACCGGGGTCCATGGACAGAGGCCACACCAGCATTTTGACGAGGGTGGTTGGGCCAGAGGACCCCATGGTACCTCTAGCCCGGAGGTGTCCTGAGCCACCTCCCTTTGCTGTGCTGGATTTTGGCCAGCTTCGGCTCTCTGGTGTCGCAGGACCCCAGAAAGGGACACCTCACTCCCTCTGCCTGTCTAACTAGCACATCTGCGTGCACTGTTGCCTAAAGAAGAACGTACGGAGAAATAGCAACTTTGCCAGCCCTCAAGTATGCCTTCCTACCAAAATGAGATCTCGGGCACCCCCAGGAGGAACACGGGTCTGACTGCTTCCCTTGTGCCTGTGGGGAAGGGCCCAGACTCCAGCTTGGCACTCACCCCTTTCATCATCATGCTGGCCAGCCTGCCCCCGACCTCCTGGCCCCGTGCAGCTTGTCACCGTTCTGGGGATACCCTCCTGCCCGGGCTAGCTGTACTATCTGTCTCCCAAGTGGGAGACTTGGGAAAGTGAAAGGAGATTGAATAGTCACCGTGACTACAGGCATTTAGGCCAGACTCTCCCAGAGGAGTTGGGGGTCTTCCCCTAAGTCTGGCGGCCTCTCCCTCAAAGCACCTGTAGGCAGCACTCCCTGGTCCCTCTGTGTCCTGGCGCCCTCCCCCTTCAGCCTGTGTGCCCTCCCCGGCTCCCTCCTCTCCTCAACCCTGGCACATCTGCGGATGGGGAGTGGTCCTGGGGTGCTACCCGCCAAGGGCAGGCCCTTCAGAGGCCCACAGCCTCTGTCTGCCCTCCCCGGGCCAGGCCCGCTCCAGCCAGAGTCCTTCACATCCTGTCTCCCTTTCTCTCCCTCCCGCGGTCAGTGGCGGCCAGAGGAGTCCGAGGACTATGTAAGTAACAGGTGTGCGAGCGTGGGCGAGACCTGGGTCAGGCTGGGCTCGTGGGACCCTCCCCTCCCCCGCCTTCTCCCCCAGCCTGAGCCGCCAAGATCCGCAGGGCACCAGCCACATCCGGAGAAAATTGGCGTTTAGACTCAGGCGGCGAGCTGAGCAGCGATTGGCATTTCCTCTAATCCTTACTTCTCGCCTGTCGAGCGGCAATTTCAGGCCAGTGTTTGTGATCGACCAGGGCCTGGCCCCTGCTCTGGCCAGACGGGGATGGAGTTAAATCCGATCCTGATCATTAGGCCTTATTGATCCCTGGAGTGAAAAATCACCTGCTCCCGGGCCCAGGCTGGGAGGGAAATCAGGGGAGCCGGTTCCGGCATTGGTGCATTCTGGATCCCCAGCCCTGGGACACCCTCCAGCTGGGGCAGGAGGGTGTCTGCGAGGGGTGGGTGGTGGCTGCAGTGGCCCCACCTGAGACTCAGAGCTGGAGGGACACCAGGGTTGGCGGTGACAGCTCTGTTCCCACTGCTCTGTGGTTCCCTCCCTTCCCACTCTGCCCTCCATGTGGCGTGGTTTGGCCTTCTGTGATGTTTGTCCGCATGTTCTGGAAATAATGCCTCGGCTGGAGATGGGCATAGGCAGGGCCTGCCAAGGCCAGGAGACATTGCCCTGGCCGACTCCTTGGGCATCACCCGGGACAGTGGGGAAGTGTGTTCCCCACGGTGGGGGTTTTCTGTCTTCCTCTGCTTTCTTCTTGTCTCACGAGGTATTGTGAGCACATGGTGTTCACAGAGCCCTTTCCTACGTGAGGTCGCATGGGGTCCTGACTTGGTCCTGCAGGGTGGGACCTGGGCCCACTCCACCTTGCTTGTGGCTGTGGGTGTAGATGAGTGTGTGTGTGTGTGTGTGTGTGTGTGTGTGCGCACACCTGTGCACTGCAGTGGCCCTCTGCCTGCTTACACAGGAGGAGCTGTAGGCTGCCTGCATGTGCGTGCCAGGAACCACACAAGGTGCTACGTGTGTGCGAAGCTCTATGCCCTGTGTGTCATGTATGCACAGTGCAATGGAGTAGAGGAACAGTGTAGCCCTTTGTTTTTACCTGAGAGGAAGCGTGAGCTGTCTGGTGCAGGTGTGCAGCTCCCAGGATGGGCGGGGACCTCCTGGGCACACATCCCACCTGCCTGCCCTCTGCGTCCAGCAGAATCCAGCATTGCACAGCACCACCACCCTGCCCCCCAGGACCTCTGGCCCTGTGTGCCCCAGCCACTCCCTGCCGGCTAAGGTCCTGAGGGGCTGGCACAGTCTGGCCTCCTTGCTCCTCTGTGATGGGAATGGGCCCCTCCTCCTCCTTAGGAAACCATCATCAGCGGCCTGACCCCAGAGACCACCTATTCCATTACCGTTGCCGCCTACACCACCAAAGGGGATGGTGCCCGCAGCAAGCCCAAAGTTGTCACGACGACCGGGGCAGGTGAGTGGGGGCGGTCCGGGACAACCGAGGGTGGGGGCAGCGAGGCGGGCAGCACCAGAGCCAGTGCGTGGTTGTTCAGTCCCAGGCCGGCCCACCATGATGGTCAGCACCACGGCCATGAACACCGCACTGCTGCAGTGGCACCCCCCCAAGGAGCTGCCAGGGGAGCTGCTGGGCTACCGGCTGCAGTACCACCGTGCCGATGAGGCAAAGCCCAACATCCTAGATTTTGGCAAGGACGACCAGCACTTTACAGTCACCGGCCTACACAAGGGAGCCACCTACATTTTCCGGCTTGCCGCCAAGAACCGGGCTGGCCCGGGAGAGGAGTTCGAGAAGGAGATCACGACTCCCGAGGATGCGCCCAGCGGCTTCCCCCAAAACCTGCGCGTGATAGGGCTGACCACCTCTACCACGGAGCTGACCTGGGACCCCCCGGTGCTGGCGGAGAGGAACGGGCGCATCACCAACTACTCCGTGGTGTACCGTGACATCAACAGCCAGCAGGAGCTACAGAACGTCACCGCCGACACCCACCTCATGCTCTCTGGCCTCAAGCCGGACACCACTTATGACATCAAGGTCCGCGCACGTACCAGCAAGGGCGCCGGCCCACTCAGCCCCAGCATCCAGTCCCGGACCATGCCCATGGAGCAAGGTGTGTGCTGCCGGCACGTGGCCGCGCCTGGGGATCTCTGCTCTCCTTCACCCACTGACCTCTGGCGACTGTGATCCACCAGCCTCTGCTGTGTGACCCTCCAATCTCATGACCATGACCACTAACCTCTAGCAAACAGGTGCCACATTCTCAGTGTGCAACCCTTGACCTCTGCTCTCCTTGACCTACTGACCTCTGCTGTGTGACTCCAATCTCTTGTGACCTTGACCCACTGATCTCTTCTGACCGCATCACCATTCTTGGGTGTGGGACGCTAATCTTTTGGGGCCACGACCCACTGACTTCCAGTGAACATGCTCCACCGTGCTCTGGTCTAGGGTCACATGCCTCTCATGACCAAATCCCACTGACAACTGGTCACTGACCAGCACCTCTGGAGATCCTGACCACGGGTCCTGTGGCATCTGCCCGGCTCGGTACTCACTGTGAAGAGGAGTTTGGGCTGAGAGCTGAGCTGTGTGATTTGAAGCTGGCTAGGAGCGGGGTACCTGGCCTCTGCAGCCATTCCTGACCGCCAGCCCTGACCGGCGTCTCTTCCTGGCAGGGAACCCGTCACCCCAGCCTCATTACACAGCCTGAGCTGATCACCGCCCCCCCATTGTATTCCACAGTGTTTGCCAAGAACTTCCGTGTGGCGGCCGCTATGAAGACATCTGTGCTGCTCAGCTGGGAGGTCCCAGACTCCTACAAGTCGGCTGTACCCTTCAAGGTGGGTGAGGGCCATGGCCAGCCAAGCCTAGCATGCTCGCAGGCCTGCCATGGGCCGTCCTGCGTGGGGGCGTTTGTGACGCAGTTTCCTGGTTAGGTGGCCACACATGCTCTGGCCCATAGGCCCATGACGGGGAGGCCCCCCCTAAACACACCGCCTGTCCCTCCCTCCCCCCACAGATCCTGTACAACGGGCAGAGTGTGGAGGTGGACGGGCACTCCATGCGGAAACTGATCGCAGACCTGCAGCCGAACACGGAGTACTCGTTCGTGCTGATGAACCGTGGCAGCAGCGCAGGGGGCCTGCAACACCTTGTGTCCATCCGCACGGCCCCAGACCTCCTGCCACACAAGCCGATGCCTGCCTCCGCCTTCATAGAGGATGGTCGCTTCACCCTCTCCATGCCCCACGTGCAGGATGCCTCACTCATCAGGTGTGCGGATGAGGCCGTGCGGGAGAGGGACAGGGCTGGTGACGCCAGCGTGGGCGATGACAGCCCTCATTCCTGCTCTGCCCACCCAGGTGGTTCTACATCGTGGTGGTACCCATCGACCGCGTGGGTGGGAGCATGCTGGCCCCGAGATGGAGCACGCCTGAGGAGCTGGAGCTGGACGAGGTGCCTGCGGATGGGACAGGGCGCCATCAATGACAGCCCCATTGCATTGGTTGGCGGTGGCCCCAGTGACACCCCCAAGTTGGAATCACTGTCTGGCTGCCCTGGCCAGTAGCCTGGGCCTCTCTGGGGGCTCTGAAGCGGTCCGTTGGGAGTTTTCAGAAAACTCTTGGAAGGCTTACAGAGACTAGAGACACCCTGGAGGGTTTTGCTGAGGATCCCCCAGGACCACCTCTGCAGGTCTAGAGGCTCCTGAGCCCTACCGACTGGGCAGTCCCAGCAGATTGGGAACCCCCATCCCCTCCTCCTAGAGGTGCAGAGCCAGCCCCATCTGGTTAGGGTGAGGGGCAGGTTACCCAGAGGCCCTCTGCTCACAGGGCTGGCATGTCTCTATGCTGGTATGTGGCTTTATTCTGTGAGGACGAGGGGCAGGGCCAGACTCAGGCCCCTTCCATGGAAAGTGAGCCTTGGTCTCAGGCCAGGGAGATGTCAAGCCACAGGCCCCGGGGCACCTGGTCTGAGGCTCGGTGTGATCCCTGTGCTCTGCTCCGTCAGCTTCTGGAGGCCATCGAGCAGGGCGGTGGGGAGCGGCGACGACGGCGGCAGGCGGAGCGGCTGAAGCCATATGTGGCTGCACAGGTGGACGTGCTCCCCGAGAGCTTCACCCTGGGAGACAAGAAGAGCTACCGGGGCTTCTACAACCGGCCTCTGTCTCCGGACCTGAGCTATCAGTGCTTTGTGCTCGCCTCCCTGAAGGAACCCGTGGACCAGGTCTGCCTTAGCCGCCTGGGCTCCCAGCACCCTGAGAGTAGGCCATGTCAAGCACCATGGGATCCCAGACCTAGGGCTGCCCCAGAGACCCCAGACCTGCACTAGGGATCTCAAAAGACATCGGCCCCTAGGACCCAGAAGACCAGAGCTGATCCGGCCCTAGGGACTCAGTCAGCTGCCCAGGCTCAGGTCTGCCCCTTAGGATCCAGGCCCAGTCAGCCCAGCAGAGCCCAGCCCCAGAGCCCTTTCTCCAGGTTTGGTGGACAGACGGTGGGGGGGTCTCACACTCAGCTCACCACCCATGCCGTTCCTCCACTGGGTCACAGAAGCGCTATGCCTCCAGTCCCTACTCTGATGAGATCGTGGTCCAGGTGACACCAGCCCAGCAGCAGGAGGAGCCTGAGATGCTGTGGGTGACAGGCCCCGTCCTGGCAGTCATCCTCATCATCCTCATTGTCATCGCCATCCTCCTGTTCAAGAGGTGAGTGCTGCACTCAGGGCTCTAGGGGACAGCCACCTGCCCCTGGACTCTGAGGTCCTCCCCGGCACGGTTCACACAGGTACAGGGCAGCCACCGCAGCCTACACCCTCACTCCTGGGCTCACTGGGGAGCCCAGAACAGCAGAAGCAGCGTGTGTACACATGCGTGTGTGTTAATCTAGGTGCGCCGAGGAGCCACAGCTTCACAGAGGGCTGGTTCACTTGCATCCCTGGGCACGTCTATCCATCTGTGTCTCTGTTTCGGTGGATGTGAGCATGTCTGTCTTTAAGCTTCAGGACACTGCCCTCTCCTAGTCTCCTACCTCCAGCACTTCCTCTGCCACCATCCCTAGATGACTCCCTAGCCCGGCTCTCCCACTTAGGCCTAGAGAGGTGCAGACCCACCTGCAGGCCCACACACCCACGGACATTCACTTGGCGCCCGTGTATTGCGCTCCTGGTGTAACCACAGCATCCCCAGCTGTCGCAAACTCAACGTGTCTTGAACCTTCCCCTTAACCTTCCTCCATGCAGTCCCTGCAACAAGGGACTGGTCCCTCCACCTGGTTAGCAACCAGAAAGCTGGATGTCAGCCTCCTCCCTCCTCTTCCCTTTCACTCGGCCCGGTCCCTGAGAGTTCTGTCCCGAAGATGGCTGCACCTGCTCCTCCTCCTCTCCTGGTGGGCTCCCCGTAAGACGGTACACGTGCAGACATAGCTGGGGACCTGGCACACAGGGCTCCTCAGTCCTCTCGGGTGCTGGTAGCCACCTACCCCTGGAGCCACCCCTTCTATCCATCTACCTACCAGCCTGAAAGGTACTTCCAAAGATTTGTCACCCACAGTTGTTTGTTTAAGATTTTATTTATCTATTCATGAGAGACCCAGAGAGAGAGAGAGATGCAGAGACACAGGCAGAGGGAGAAGCAGGCTCCATGCAGGGAGCCAGACGTGGGACTCGATCCTGGGACTCCAGGATCAGGCTCTGGGCTGAAGGTGGCCCTAAACCATTGAGCCACCCAGGCATCCCTGTGACCCACAGTTTAAAACTTATCAGTGGCTCCCAAAATACAGTGACCTCTATCACCTGACAATCAGGTGCCTGACTGGTCTGGCCCCTCCTGCCATTCCATACCTCGTCACTGAGCTAACTCCGTTCCCTGGCCGACCAGGGCTGTGCCCCCTCCACTCTGCAGCTTTCCTGCTCAGGCCCACCCAGCTGCTGCCATCCTTCGAGACTCCCTTCCAGGGACCTCTGGCTGGCTCAGTCGGGAGAACATGCATCATCTTGAGGTGGTCAGTTAAAGCCCCACATTGAATAAAGTAGAACTTACTGTATTTTTATTTTTATTTTTATTTTTTTAAATCTTTTTTTTTTAATTTTTTATTTATTTATGATAGGCACACAGTGAGAGAGAGAGAGAGAGGCAGAGACACAGGCAGAGGGAGAAGCAGGCTCCATGCACCGGGAGCCCGACGCGGGATTCGATCCCGGGTCTCCAGGATCACGCCCTGGGCCAAAGGCAGGCGCCAAACCGCTGCGCCACCCAGGGATCCCTATTTTTATTTTTTTAAAGATTTTATTTATTTATTTATTCATGGGAGACACACACTCACACAGAGAGACAGAGACCCAGGCAGAGGGAGAAGCAGGCTCCACGCAGGGAGCCTGATGTGGGACCCAGTCCCGGGTCTCCAGGATCATAACCTGAGCCAAAGGCACATGCCTTAACCACTGAGCCACCCAGGCATCCCTAGAACTTACTTTAGGGAAGGAAAAAAAAGACTCCCTTTCCTCCCTTCCAGGCTCTGGCGCCCACCAGACCCTCCTGGTCTCTGCTTCTTCCCTACATCTCCCCTATCTGCCCCAGTGGGCACATCACTAGGACTGTGTTTCTAGCACCCAGCACACCGCTCTGAGCCCTTAGGGCATGTCCGTGAACACTTGTCAGTGAGGCCGTATTGGTTTGTATGTCTGAACGAGTCTGCACAGAGGAGGTCCTGTGCTCTGTGCCCCACCTACCCCTGACCCCTGACCTGGACTGAGGGCCTCCCTCTTGAAGAGTTCATTCCTTCCTCCCGGGGTGAATAGGGACAGGCTTTCCTGGTCCAGGGCATGGAGACTAGAGGCGGCGGCCCGAGGAGTGCCCCGCACATCCCCTCATCCTCCTCCCTATCTCATCCGGGTCCTGGGGCCTTTCAGGAGAACCAGCACCCTGCCTGGGAGTGCCACGTAGGTGCTGTAGATAGGTCCCTCCGTGTCCCCCATGTCTCAAGAGGGCCTGAGTGCTTCGCAGAAACAGTGACCATTCCTTTCTTCTGTCCTTGCCTGTCTTTCGGGACCTAGTAAACAAGAAAGGTAGGACTCATTCCTTCTCTCTTCACATGCCTGCCCCTTCACTTCTTATCCCTCTGCACATTTCGGGCCCAGCAGGGAGGGACGGGGCTCCGACCAGAAGCCTCCTGGCCTGTGCTTGTCTGGTCAGCTCAGCAGGCTCCGGGGTGGGCTCTGTTGCTCTCCCGCCTTGTACCCTGCACAGGGGAAGCCCCGTCCCCATGGCGTGAGCACAGTGCAAGCTTCAGTGCCTCCCCTGAGTGCACAGATGGGCTCCGAGTTCACTGGAACCTTCTACCAGGCTCCTGGTTCTCTAAGATTATCTAAGTGCTGCTGGAGACATACGTGCAAAGAACACTGGGTGCGAGGCAGGGGGAGGTGTGTATTTCTACACACTCGTGCACATTTATGCAAACACCTGTGTCCACATAGCAGGAGTGGCTCCCGGATGCTTTCAGCAGCTGGACCCCATGGTCTGTCTCTGACCCTGTCCTTATAGACAGGGGAGCTGAGGCCAACGAGGGAGGACTCTGCCCAGCTAGGGTGACGCCTTCCCCGTCCCTCCCCCGCTGCTCTGGACATTGACCCTGATACCGAGAGACAGACAGCTGGGGCCCGGCTCTCTGTGATGTTTGCGTATCTTATGTGTCATTTGCATGTTTATTCCTGGTGGCTCCTGCTGCCCTCGCTGTGGCAGCCTCGGGGACAGCAGCTCCTGCCCAGCAGCAGCCAGCCCTCTGTTGGGAGGCGCCACCAGCCTTTGCAAGCCCTTGCCCCCTCGCTGCACTGGCCCTCCGTCCACCCCAGTCCCGCTGTCTCCCTACCCGCCCTACCCTGTGTTCTCTGTTAAAGCTGCTCTGCCACTGGCTCCCCTGTGCTCCGAGACCCCAGGAGGGGCTGGGGCGGTGGGAGGGACCGAGCCGTAGACACAGGGTCTCTGGCACAGCCAGCCATACCGCCTGTCTCTGTCCTCTGCGTGGACCTCAAGTCCTCACCAGCCACCCTGCTGCCTCCTCAGGAAGAGGACTCACTCCCCATCATCCAAGGATGAGCAGTCAATTGGGCTGAAGGACTCCTTGCTGGCCCATTCCTCTGACCCTGTGGAGATGCGGAGGCTCAACTACCAGACGCCAGGTAGGCAGCTCCCCAGCCTACCTGCCCCCCGCCCAGGCCTGCAGGTCCTGGAGTCTCTCCCAAGAGCTCCTGGCCTTGTGCCCCCACTTCCTACTCTTGTTTCTTGCTGCCTGCTTCCTGAACCCATCCACTTTGTTGAAGTGACAGAAGCTTTTATAGGCAGCAAATGCCCAGGAGCCCTGGAGCCCTACAGCCTCTCGGGAGGCCCAGCTGCATAGGCCCTGCCTCCTGTTAGGTCAAGGTCTCCGAATCTGGGCTAAGGACCCTTACAGGGCCCACGTCCCAGCCACAGGGTGGCCAGAGTCTACACCTGCCCTTTGTCCCTTCTGTACAAGAGGTGGGAAATGCCCCATCAGACACTTCTGGTGAGATAGGGTGCCCAGACTTAACTGTGTGAGCACAAGGACCCCACTCAGAGCATTACACCTGCCCTTCCTTCCGCAGCCACTCTCACACGGCTCTCTGGCTGTCCCTTCTTCCTAAAGTGTCACTGCCTCCCCATGCCCCAGTAGACACACCTGAGACGCCTCCCCTAGATGACACCTTCCAACCCACCTCAGCCCCCACACAGGCCTAGGGGTCTCCCCTGGTTTCCAGAACCTCCCTGCTCCTTCCCCAATGACACCTCTCGCTCTGGGCTAGAATCACCTCCATGGCAATCCAAGTTCTGTGGAGCCAAGAACTGTGTCTTGTTCATCGCCATCCCTTGTACTGTGCACACAGTGGGCTCTGATTGGATACCTGTGAAACGGACACACGAGTGAGTGAGTGAACTAACACACACACGGGGCTTACGTGAGGTAGTTAAATTAGCACATATCAAATTGCTGCAAAATGTGACGGCTTAAGACAACAATAATTATGCGTTACCCTTTTCAGTTTGTGTGGATTAGAAATTCAGACAAGAGTATATAGCAGGAACAGCTTGTCTCTATTCCAGGATGTCTGGGGCCCTCACCTGGAGAACTTAGAGTCTGAGAGCTAGAATCACTTAAACGTTAGCAAACTTCGGCTTATAGCCAAACATGACCCACCACCTGGTTCTGCAAGTAAAGTTTTATTAGAACCCAGCCACAGCTACTCATTCATATACCACGCACGGCTACTTTCACGCTACAAAGGCAAGGTGAAGTAGCATCTACTGTATGGGCACAAAACCAAGGATGTTTACTATTTGGCCTTTGTGGAACGGTTTCTTGTCCCCTGAATTCTGAAGGCTCATTCATTTATTCATTTACATGTCAGGTGTTGATGCTAGAGTCAGTCAGCCGTGAGCCCACCTGGGGTTGTCAGTGGGAACAACCGCACGAGGCTCTTCACGTGGCCCTGGCTCCGTCACAGCACAGTGACTGAGTCCCAAAGGCATGCGTCCTGAGAGCAAGCAAGCCGGGCCACCTCGCAGGCTGTTCCAACCCAGCATGATCATATCTACCTACGCAGAATCCACTCTCTAGGCTGCTTAGGGGCCTGGAGGGTGGAGAAGCCGCCTCTGAGAGGGGATGCCAGGCGTGTGAGCATGAGTCAAGCAAATGGGGGGAGGTAGGAGGAAGCTCCATTCTGTGGAAATAGCACTGCGGAAGCACCCCACGGGCACTGGGTGTCCTGCATTCTTGGAGTTGGGGTACTGAGAGCCCACAGATGAGATTGGGGGGTAGACAGGGGCCACCACAGGGGAAAACCTGAGTGTCAGGCTAAGGTTTGGACTTCATCATGACGGTACCAGGGAGGCATTGAAAGTCTTCACCAGGGGAGCAATAGGGTCAAATTGTGATTTGGACATCTCACTCTGGCCACTGTGTGGAAGTCAGACTGGAGGGGAGAGATTGGGAGACTTGAAAGCCACGGAGTAAGTGAGAGGTGCTGAGGACATGGACAAAGAGGGTGGCCATGGGAGTGGGGGGCAGGCGTCGCCAGCATGAGGAGACAGCAGGGCTTGGGCTTAAGGCTGAACAATGAGTGTGGGGTTCCAGGAGCCCCCCCCACCGGTCTGTGGGTCCACGCCTCCACCACTGCCACCCACCTGAAACTACGGATGTGGGAGGTGACGAACAGCCTGTGATGGTCAAAGCCGGAGGACAGAAGGCAGGGCAGCCAAGAAGGAGGGGAAGTTGAGGAAGGCTGAATGAAGAGTAGCCAGGGAGATTAAGAAGGAGCAGCCAGAAAGGACGAGTATGGGAGGAGCGGAGCATCCCTGAGCCAAGGCCGGGGCTGGCTGTGCACTGGGAGGACCGTTGGCTTTGGCAGTTGGGACTGTGGAGAGAGCATGGTGGCCGGGTCCTGCTGGAGCTCTGGGCTGGTGGCTGTGGTTTTCTCCACGATGAGGTAAGAGTGGTTAGAGCATCAGGGAAGGTGTGGCCTGGGTGTGGGCGCTAAGCAGGCACGCCCCGGGAGGACTGCTGAGCTGCCAAGGGCCCAGGGTTCAGATCCCGAATGCCTGTGGCTGCAGGGGCTGGAGGGAAACTGCAGGGATCTGAGAGGAAAGGAGGGATGGAGAGAGAGTGAAAAGAGGGTGCAGACGTGGGAAGGGCCGAGTGCAGAGGGATGGGGTGTCCAGGAGGGGCTGGGGGCTGGGGCCAGCCATGAGTCACCACGCGTGCAGAGCTCAAGGAACCGGCCCTGCTAGTGGGGAGAGGCATCCCCGCGGACACAGCAGTCCCTGGACTGTTGAGAGAACCAGGGACCAGAAGGGACAAGGGAAGGGATCAGGGGCATGGCAAGTATTCTTCAAAATTTTTTTTAGTTCATAGAGGTTTTTTTTTCCTTCTATAATTTAATCTATTCTGAAAATGTTTCAAAATCATGGAAAATATAGTCCTATATGCATATCCTTGTGTAGCCTGACCCTGTCGTTTCTGGCCATGCGTGCCTCCTCTCTCTAGGGGAAAGCACGCTCCCCTTTCACCTAATCATCTGAAAATAGCCAAGGTCAAATGTTGATACCAGAGGGGCTAAGGGTTGGTTGGGATCTAGAATTTAGTCTTAAAAAGAGTCCCCCACGGCTGCCCAGGCCCCCGGAGGTTGGGAGCGCTCCGCTTCTGGTGGGAGATGGGCAAGCGTTCCTGGGGGGAAGGGTGCGGAGGGGGCCTGTGGTCGGGCCCATTCCTCCAGTCCCTCCACGCAGCTCCCGTAACCCGAGAAAGTTCTGGGCTTCCTTCCTTTGCCCCGCTAGTTTTTCTGTTTTCTTTCTCTGCAGGTTCCAGTGTCCCCAGTTGCCCGAATATCTCAAGTTAGTTTTCTGAGTTCGGGGGCTACTCTGGCTTCTGTGTCTGTTTCCTCCAACTTTTTCTCACGCCATCGCCTCTGTCCCTTCTTGAATCTTCTTCCCCTCCTCTCCTTGTGTCCCCCACCTTCCTCCAGTCCTGTCTTCCTTCCCACTGGCCCAGCCCTGGTCTCTGCCTCTGTGATCTCCAGTCCCCATCCGACACCTTTTGGGGGCCTCCCGTCTCCCGTGTCCACATCTCCCTCCCCATCTCTGCGCCTCTCTCGGGAATCTTCTGCGCCATTCTATGTCGCCGTACTTTGCGTCCACTCCATCCACACGCTCGGTGTAGCGCCGATGTCACCGAGTCTCCCACCGTGACTGGCGCCAGTGAGGGGCAGGAGGGCTGTCCGCAGGCAGGGCCCGTGGGGCAGGGTGTGCAGCTGCTACCTGGGCTTCCAGCCCCCGCCTGGGAGGAAGGAAGCCTAGTGTCCCCCTAGAGGACCCGCCAGGTGGGGCCCTAGTGCCCTCACTGAGCGCTGCAGCCCACGCCCACGCGTGCTCACAGCACACACATTGCCTCACTCCACCCCTGCCCCCGGCCGCTGTGTGCTCTGCCATCCCTGTCGCCGCATGTGCTGCTGTCCTCATGCCACCAGTGCCGAGTGCTCCATGGTCACACGTGTGCACATAACATGCATCGGGCTATCTCAACTGCCAGCGTGGGCCTCACGCTGACGCCACCTGTGTGTGCCCCCCCCCCCAGGTATGCGAGACCACCCGCCCATCCCCATCACTGACCTGGCCGACAACATCGAGCGCCTCAAAGCCAACGACGGCCTCAAGTTCTCCCAGGAGTACGAGGTGAGACGTCCCTACCTCTGCATGTGCCAGGGCTAGGCCCACCCCCATGCCAGCTCCTGCCCTGCGTCGGGTCCCAGCCGTGGTGGGGGAGCCTCCGGGCTTCCCTAGAGCACAGATTTGGAGGAGTCAGCAGTGGCTACTGGAGAACCCAGCTCCTCGGGTGCTAGGCCTGGCTGAGCCCTTGTAAGCAGCCCACGGCTGGACCCGCTCACGCGTGGACCGGTAGTAACAGCTCACACATCAGGAGCTTCCACAAGCCAGACTAGCCTAGGCAGTTTATGTGCGTCTTCTCGTTCTGCTCTCCTCACAGTGTGAAATGGTTCTGTTGTTAACCCACCTTACAGATGAGGAAACTGAGGCTCAGAGAGGGGAAGTGACTTGCCCAAGGGCAGAGAGCTGGTGCATAGTAGAGCCAGGAGTCAGACCCAGGCCTGCCTGACACCCTCATGTGTGTTCTCAGAGCAACACGGGTCACAGAGCAGGGAGTCGGGGGACTCCAGGCCCGCTGCTCAGGCTGCACAAACCTTCCAGCTTACGGCCCCCCACGTACGTGCCCTCTTCACTCTGGTCTTTTTTTTTTTTTAAAGATTTTATTTATTTATGATAGTCACGGGGGGGGGGGGGGCAGAGACACAGGCAGAGGGAGAAGCAGGCTCCATGCAGGGAGCCCGACGTGGGATTCGATGCCGGGTCTCCAAGATCACGCCCTGAGCCAAAGGCAGGCGCCAAACCGCTGCGCCACCCAGGGATCCCTTCACTCTGGTCTTGACTCCTACCTGCTGAGGGCTCCAACCTCGGAGCTCCTGGAGTCTGAGGGCTTCCAGGCAGCCCAGCGGGGAGGGCTCTGCTGGAGAAGGAGGTGATGAAGGAGGCCCCCACCTCCTCACCTGTGCTCCAGGGAGCACACACAGGTGGTATCCTGCTTCGGCTCCTCTCCTGCTGTTGCCCCTGCTCCCGGCACAGGCTTGGCCAGGACTCACCCTCAATCAATAATGGGCAGATAGGTGATTGATGGGCTGGCACAGCCCAGCCTGTGAGTCTGCTCCCTCTCATCAGATGTCCCCCACCCTCACCCCGGTGGTGCGTGGTACCCTGGGGTCCCAGGATTCCCCTTCTGGGGGCTTTGGGTCAGCTGGGTTCTCACGGCCGTGGGCCAGATTTCTGCAGAAGCATTTGGGCCTGGCAGGCAGATTGATAAACATGTCTGCCATGAGGAAGGCATGCCGCCTCGACCTGTAGAGCAGCCTCTGGGGCCTGTTTTCAGTTCTTCCACTGGCCTGGAGGGCCTTCCGTGATCTCTGCCCACCCCTGTCCCATCCCATGTCCCACAGCTGCCCTTCCTTCCTCACTGTCAAGGTTCACGGCATCCCCCCTCTTACCTTCTGCCCACTTCTCTCCTCCAGCCTGAGCTTTTCCTCCTTCTCCTCCCAGAAGCCTTCTCTGCTCTCCTGGGCCTGCTGTGGGCTTTCCCTCAGCCAGGATTCCATAACTCTGTCACCTCTGACAGCCAGTCAGTGATCACACTGCCTAGCGCCTACCTGTGCTGAATGCTGGGCGTACGGAGACAAATTCGTCAGGTGGCTCAGCCGGTGGGGAAGCCAGCTCAGGCAGGTGATCGGCCCTGAATACGACATCATACCTTCGGATTACATATGCCAAATCGTGCGGAGAAAGCAGGCTGGCAGCACCAAGGCAGGCCGAGGGGCGGGGTGTGCTAGAGGGCCTCAGCTGTGCCTGCTGTCCTGTGGAGAGTAGTAGCCTGGCGCCAAAACACGAGCGCAGCGCGTGCTCTGCTGAGGACTTCGGGTAATGTCCTTCTGTAGAAGGGGGATAGTCCTGGAGCCTGCTTCAGAGGGGCATTAGGTGAGGGACTACGTGCAAAGTGCTCAGAATAGCGCCACGCACACCATGGCTTCTGAGACTCTGCTACTACCGTCATGATCTGTGGTGGTGAGCGCAGAAGGCACTGAAGCAGGAAAATGATAAATCAGCATTTTCTGAGGGTTGTTCCAGCCACAGGACATAATGGGGTGAAAGCAGAAAGGGAGATGCCCAAGTCCGAGTTGGGGTGGCCTGGCCGAGGCCTGTGACAGCAGGTTGAAGAGAGGCTGAGGAGGGTGTGGAAGCCCTAGGACATGGTGGGGCCTGAGGGGACAGGGGCATGGAGGGGTTTTTGAAGATGACGTGAGGGTAAATGCATGAAAGTGCCTTTGACCGAGACGGTGTTCTGGTGGCCAAGCTACTTAGCAAGGGTTGAGATCGCAGGGCCTGTGGGCCCCCAGGTGGGGTTGCCCAGGAGGCTGCCGGCCATTCAGCTCGGGAGCTCAGGGAGACTGGGCTGCGGCTGGGGGTGCATGCAGCCCCAGCATGTGAGTGCAAGACCCTACGAGCAAATGAGGGCCCCAGCAAGTGATAGAGTGCGAAGGCAGCCCAGGAACGGCCCCTGGAGGAGTGCTGGGCCCTGCCTGTGGCAAGGACAGGTGGGCGGAGTGGAGACAGACAAGGAAGGGCCGGGGAGGTAGGAGGAGAGCTGGACAGGGTGATGCAGTAGGTGCCTGGCGCCCTCAGCGGCATCGGGTGCGGCACCACTGGCTACCATTGCTCCTTCTTGGTCTGTACGCATTTCGCTAGTTGGGCGCAGGGTCTGAGGGACTTTCCCCTGGCCATTCTACTGGGCAAGGGGATTTGGTGCCCCATGCAGAAGGGTCTCTGGTCCATCACCTACCCGACAGGTGGTAGGGCAGCCTCAGCCCTACGGCTAGGGGAGCGTGGGGCTGGTCGCGGCCCGGAAGCGAAGGCAGCATGTGAGCACCACCTGGCAGGCTGGGTCTTGCGAGCAGCAGGGAGACCTCAGCCCTTACCCTGCCCTACCTGTCTCCATTTCCTACAGTCCATTGACCCTGGACAGCAGTTCACCTGGGAGAATTCAAACCTGGAGGTGAACAAGCCCAAGAACCGCTACGCAAACGTCATCGCCTACGACCACTCCCGAGTCATCCTTACCTCCATCGATGGTGAGCCAAGGGCAGCGCCCCCTCCATCCCCTTGCTCTCCTCCTTGCTGGCTGGGGTGATGTTTCCTCCTGCAGGAGAGGCCCGTGGGCCTCAGGAGCACCAAGGTAGAGACGGCTGGAAGGGGCCCCTGGAAAAATGCTCTCCTGGGTCCCTTCCTGTTCACAGGTGTCCCAGGGAGTGACTATATCAACGCCAACTACATCGATGGCTACCGCAAGCAGAATGCCTACATTGCCACGCAGGGCCCACTGCCCGAGACCATGGGCGATTTCTGGCGGATGGTGTGGGAACAGCGCACGGCCACCGTGGTCATGATGACACGGCTGGAGGAGAAGTCTCGGGTAGGACTGTGCAGCAGCCTTCCTGCTGGGGAGGTGGGCTGGGGAAGACTCAGTCTCCAGTGACTTTCAGGCACCTCTTCCTGCCTCTGTCAGAAGCTCCCCAAGGGGTTCACCAAGTCCTCTTGTCTTCTTGGGGTGTTCTCACACCCCCCAGCTACTGGGTATTCCTGGGCTGTGGCACGTTCCCTAGACGCCAGCACGTTGCTCGGATATTAATATGTTGTATCAGATGCTGTCTTTTTCCAGGAACGTTAATGCATTCCCCAGTTGCTAGCATGTTCCCAGGATGTTCACATGTTCCCCAGATGCTGGAGTGTTCCCGGGACATTAGCCCATCTCCTAAGTTAATTAGTGGAAAGAGCTGCCGTTATCTGCTTCTGCACTGCAAAGCATCAACCGGAACGTAAAATTTACAGAGCTTGAAAACGGCGCATAAACGTTATGGGCAAATTTGGCAGAAAATGTGCCTGGTGCGATCTGGTCATGAATAAATAATTTTCAATTATGGCCCTCATTCTCCTAGCTAGGGCAGGGATGGCAGTGTAGCGTGAGAACCTGATTTGGTTTGGCAGGGGGGTGGCATGATAGATGTGAGAGTTCAGGGCCGGGGGCCTGGCAGCCATGTGGGCCAGACCTCCCACCCCCCCTTTTGCCCCAGGGTCCCTGCCTGTCCGGGCCTTTGGGGACACCTAAGCACCCTCAGACCTGCCCCACTTGTCCCTATATAGGTGAAGTGTGATCAGTACTGGCCAGCCCGGGGTACCGAGACCCACGGCCTCATTCAGGTGACCCTGCTGGACACGGTGGAGCTGGCCACATACACTGTGCGCACCTTTGCACTCCACAAGGTACAGCCTGCCCCCATGCTCGCCCCCCCGCCCCAGCCCTGTCAGGAAGCGTTCTGATCACGGTGTGCTGAGAGTCAGGGCCCAGAGGTGTGTAATTGCCCTGTGGCAGCCCGTGCCATGGGGCGGGGGTGGGGGGTGGGAACAGCGCCTCAGGCTCCTCCAGTCCCCCTCCTGTGGCTGGAGTCCTGGCCTGGCCTCAGTGCCAGGTTGTCCTGCCCTGAGTCTAGAGTGGGCATGCTTGCCCTGACACATCGGGTCTCCCCGCTTTTCTCCCCAGAGTGGCTCCAGCGAGAAGCGGGAGCTGCGTCAGTTCCAGTTCATGGCCTGGCCGGACCACGGGGTTCCCGAGTACCCCACCCCCATCCTGGCCTTCCTGCGGCGGGTCAAGGCCTGTAACCCGCTAGACGCAGGGCCCATGGTGGTGCACTGCAGGTGAGAGGGTTCGGGGCCACCCTGGGGGCGGGCGTGGGAGGCAGCCTGGACCTCTGCCCAAGCAAGCCCGTGTCCTGCAGTGCGGGCGTGGGCCGCACGGGCTGCTTCATCGTCATCGACGCCATGCTGGAGCGGATGAAGCATGAGAAGACAGTGGACATCTACGGCCACGTGACATGCATGCGATCGCAGCGGAACTACATGGTGCAGACAGAGGACCAGTACGTGTTCATCCACGAGGCGCTGCTAGAGGCCGCCACGTGCGGACACACGGAGGTGCCTGCCCGCAGCCTGTATGCCCATATCCAGAAGCTGGGCCAAGTGCCTCCCGGGGAGAGTGTGACCGCCATGGAGCTCGAGTTCAAGGTGGGCTCAGGGGCCTGGACTGGGCCGAGGGGGAGACCCCCACCCCCACCGAGAAGCCAGGCCTCACTGGCCTATTCCTCTGTCTAGCTGCTGGCCAGCTCCAAGGCCCACACATCCCGCTTCATTAGCGCCAACCTGCCCTGCAACAAGTTCAAGAACCGCCTGGTGAACATCATGCCCTATGAGTTGACCCGTGTGTGTCTGCAGCCCATCCGTGGTGTGGAGGGCTCTGACTACATCAATGCCAGCTTCTTGGACGGCTATAGGTCAGCATGCCCATGACCGCCCCCCATACTCTGCAGGTGCCTGGGCCTGCAGCAGGCCAGCTGGGGAGCACAGCAGAGTAGGGCCAGCCCGGGAGATCAGAGCAGGCTTCCTGGAGGAGGGGGAGTCCAAGGGACTGATGAGGCAGTCTTGGGGAGACTCGGGGGCAGCAGCAGCTCCAGCGTGTCCGGTCCCATGCCCGCCACAGGCAGCAGAAGGCCTACATCGCCACGCAGGGGCCCCTGGCAGAGAGCACCGAGGACTTCTGGCGCATGCTCTGGGAGCACGGCTCCACCATCGTCGTCATGCTGACCAGGCTTCGGGAGATGGGCAGGGTGAGCCCACCCCCCACACCCCGGGGCGCGCCGACCACCTCTCCACACCTCTCCCCTTTCACAGCCGGCCTCCCCCCACCCATCCCGGCAGAGCCTCGGGCCCCCTCCTCACCACCTGCAGCATCCTGCCCCAGAACCCTCTGAAACCTGCAGCTGTCCCCCCAGTCCCTCTCCACTTGACCACGGGGACTGGGCCGTTTGTCCACAGGAGAAATGCCACCAGTACTGGCCAGCAGAGCGCTCCGCTCGCTACCAGTACTTTGTTGTTGACCCGATGGCTGAGTACAACATGCCACAGTACATCCTGCGTGAGTTCAAGGTCACGGATGCCCGGGTGAGTGTACAGAGCAGGGGTGTGTATGTCTGCACGATAGCATGTCTGTGATGTTGCCCAAGTATATATGGGGTGGTGGCAGTCTTCACGGAGCCCTGGCTCAAGCTGCAGGAACCTGAGGTGAGGGTGAGGGTGTGGGGCCAGGAGCACCTCTCTCGGGGCCTCAGGCATGATAGTTTCATGGGCGTGCACCTGTGTCGTGCTGCCTGTATGGCCTGGTGGGGCCGCGGGGGCACAGAGGCTAACCCTGTTCCCTGCCCCCCTCTTCCAGGATGGGCAGTCGAGGACAATCCGGCAATTCCAGTTCACAGACTGGCCCGAGCAGGGCGTGCCTAAGACGGGTGAGGGCTTCATCGACTTCATCGGGCAGGTGCACAAGACCAAGGAGCAGTTCGGGCAGGACGGGCCCATCACGGTGCACTGCAGGTAGGGCCAACCCTGTGGGGGGCTGGGGAACGGGGGCGCCCGTGGGCCTGGTGGGCAGGACCCCAATCCAATGCTGTCCTTGAGCAGTGCTGGCGTGGGCCGCACCGGGGTGTTCATCACTCTGAGCATCGTCCTGGAGCGGATGCGCTACGAAGGCGTGGTCGACATGTTCCAGACCGTGAAGACCCTGCGCACACAGCGCCCAGCCATGGTGCAGACGGAGGTACGCAGGCCCCCCACTGGCTGGCACGGGGCCTGGCTCCTCCCACGTGCGTGCCGCCGACGTTTACCATTCCCTGCTCTGCCTGAGGAGCTGCGGTAGGATGAGTGGAGTGTGCTCCTCCTTCCGCAGCTGTGCCCTGAGCACCAGCAGTGTGCCTTGTTCCGGCGAGGGTGGGACAGCAGTCCTTATGGGCTGCGCAGTCTAGGAGCAGATAAACATGGTAGGGGTGGGGCAGTGGCAAACGGGGAGAACCAAGCCTTCCGAGGCTCCTCCAGGCTCCCTGGACACCGCCTGGGGCAGACATCTGGTCTAGCACCTGCCTGTGGTCCCCAGCTGCAGCGTGAGTGCCCTTGGCAGTGCGTCGGGAATATCCACTCACGCTGCCTTGGCTGACCCGCCCCTGTCCCGGCAGGACCAGTACCAGCTGTGCTATCGTGCGGCCCTGGAGTACCTTGGCAGCTTTGACCACTATGCAACGTAACTACCGCTCCCCTCTCCTCCGCCGCCCCTGCCTGGGGCTCCGGAGGGGACCCAGCTCCTCTGAGCCATACTGACCATCGTCTAGCCCTCCTGCACGGATGCTGTTGCTGGCAGAGCACAGCCCACTGGGGTCACAGCGTTTCAGGAACATTGCCACGCCAAATGGAGAGCCCAGAACACCACTGGGCGAGTGGGTGGGCCGACAGCCGGATGCCATGGCCCGTCTCTGTCCACCAGGCCCACCCAGAGCCTGCGTCGAGCTCTCTGTTCTGTGTCGCGTTTCTCATGCTTCTTCTCATGGGGTGGGGATGGGGGCAAAGTCTCCTTTTTTATACATTAAGTGGGGGTAGACTGAGGGATTTGATTCTAGCCTCTTCCCTCTTGATTTTCCTTTTGCAAATCCTTAACTGCAGAATGGGCCGCTGTGGGGGTTAGGGTTCAGTTGTTTTCTTTCTTGAGTTCACTTTGGATCCTTTTTGTGTATGACTTTTGCTGCTGAAGGACAGAACATGCCTTCCTCTGTGCGGAGCTGGGGCCACCAGCCTGAGTGGAGGCCCAGCCGCGGGCCTGGGAGCCACCGCTGACCCAGCTGCTCCTCCAGCCCTTCAGACAAGATCCTGTTTCAGCCAAATGTGGGGAAACACAATTCTTTTTTTAAGTTTTGTTTTGTTTTTCCTCCAGAGCCTTATTTTAGGCCCCACAGACAGTGGTGGGCGGGGAGGAGATAGGAAACACTCATCTCCAGTTGTCTATTCCTGTGCGTGCGTGTGTGTGTGTGTGTGTGTGTGTGTGTGTGTGTGTAACATTCACAGCCCAGAACCACAGACGTGTCTCGGGGAGCCTGGCAAGGCATTCCTCATCACCATCGTGTTTGCAAAGGTTTAAAAAAAAACACAAAGACAAAAAAAAAAATCCCAAAAAAAACAAACAAAACCCACCAAGAAAAAAAAACAAGAGTCATCCCCCTGGCGTCTGCTTCCAGCCCCCAAGAGGGGGAGGTGGCCCCTTGTGCCTGGGCTCCCCAGGGGAGCTGCCGGGCTGACCTCGGGGGCCCTCAGAGCCGTGCTTTTCGTCCCCAGCCTTGCGGTATGGCGTGGTGGTGGTCAGCTGTGGATCTGGCCGTGCAGCCACAGGGATCGACACAGGTCAGGGTGTGTGCCACGCCCCGCACACCTCAGGGCCGAGCAGGGGCACAGCTGGCCCTTCAGGTCCAGGCCAGTGGGCCTGGGAGCACACGTGTGTCCTCAGAGCAGGGGCCAGATGATTCCCCTCCCTGGTTTGCAGCTGTCGTCAGAACCCCTGAGAATCGTTCTATTCCACTCTCTCAAGATGCCCTCATAAACCAATGTGGCAAGACTACTGGACTTCTCTCAATGGTACTATAATCAATCCTTATTATCTCGGCTTGCTGAGGGGCGGGGAGAGGGCCTCTGGGCAACACTAGGTAGGTAAGCGGGGGCGGGGAAGGGTGCATAGCTGTTTTAGCCGAGGGACGTGGAGCTCGTCCTCTAGCTAGGCTCAGTCAAGATCAACAATCCAGGGTTGGTAATGTTGGATGAAACATTCATTTTTACCTTGTGGATGCTAGTGCTGTAGAGTCCACTGTTGTACACAGTCTGTTTTCTATTTGTTAAGAGAACTACAGCATCATTGCATAATTCTTGATGGTAATAAATTTGAATAATCCAATTTCTTACAAACCGGGCCTCTGTCTCAGCTCTTTCCGGAACCAAAGAGTGGGCTCTGTAAGGTCAGTAGCGAGGGGTAGATTCTGGAGATGCCCTGCTGCCTAAGGAGGCAGCGAGGCTGGCCTGAGTATTTGTGGCAGCTCGGGCTCCCGGCGCTGCGGCTCACTTTCTGAAAGGAGCGTTACGAAGCCTGGAAACCAGCCACCGGTGTGTATCAAGAGCACCCCACGGGGGACCCAGCTCCCCAGGCAGCCAGCAGACACTTTGCCTCTCCTCCCCTTTCTTCTCCACCTCCCCTGCCGAGGAGAGAGATGGCCTGGGTGCCCCCAGAGGCTGGGACCCGACGGAGATTGGTTAGTGAGGACTCTTGGAATCCACGCGATGCTGCTACTGGACCCAGGGTGGCTGTCTGGCCCCCCGACAAGCAGCAGTATCATGGGCCTGGCTCGGCTCCTGGAGCCCTGCAGCCTCTCCAGCAGTGATCGGCCCAGCCCTGCCAGCTTGTGAGGCCACGGAACTTCCCAGGCACAGAGGCCAGACCCAGACCGAGCGGGGATGGAGCTAAGTCAGCAGGGACCGGGCTGTCGGAGAGCTCTGGCCGTGACGAGCCCAGCGCAGAGGAGCCGCGGGCACGCCTGGGCAGCACCTGCCACCTGACAACGCTGCGGGTGGGCGCAGGCTTCCCAGAGGAGGTGACCTCAGCTGGATTCGGAGTGTTTCATGGGGCCAGCGGTGATGACTTTTACGAAGTGGGGAAAGCATTTCCAATGGAGAGAGCAACTCACAGAGGCTTGGAAGTGGGAAGCAGACCGACAGGAGGAACTGCAAGGAGTGGGGTGTGACTAGGTGGGGGGGTCGGGGGCTGAGACACCCTGAGAAAGGCCGCTGGAAGTAGCCAGATGGCGCAGCGCAGGGGTTTCGGTTGATGTGGACCAGACGAGTCCCCGGCAGGCGAGGTCCCTCAGTCACGTCCTGCCGCCTCCAGTGTTGGCAGCTGCCCCCTGGGGGACCCCGAGTCCCAGAGGCCTGGGATCCGGGCTCCCCAGCACCTCGCTCAGTGCCTTGCGTGTTTCTACTTGCTTAGAAAAATGACCTCGTCATTGCGTTACTCTTGATGGTATTAAATTTGAGTGATTGTTTACTAAATAAAAGAATGAACCTCCAGACATCTCCAAGTGAGGAGTAAGTGTCAGATCGTCACTTGGACAGGAGCCTGAGGACCGCGGGGCAGGCTCTGCACAGACGTCCTGAGGTCCTGATCGCCAAGGCTGGGCAGACCCTCTGCGCTCCGTGCCACAGACCAGACTGAAGTTTACAGTGGATTCACTTGCCAAAGACCACAGGGCAGGTGAGCGCCAGAGCTGGGACCGACACCTGACTACGTCAGCTCCAGAGTCCCTGCTCCGCCCCCCTCTCTGCCCCCCCCCCCCCCCCCCCCCCCCCCCCGTCACAGTGTGCAGCACCCCATCCACTCAGTCCCCCCCACGCCCAGCTCATCACTGAGCCCCGCCCATCCGGCCTTCCTTCTCCCCCTTTGGCCTCTCTGCATCCCCTGCTGGTGTCCCCCACCACCCTCCCGCCTGGATTCCCACCTGCTGGGCCTGCCCTCAGCCCCGCCCCAACCAACGCATTCTCAGCACAGCAGCCAAAAGATGGATTCTTCCCTTGGGCAGACGTGACCTTGTCACGTCTTGACCAGACCCAGCCAAGCCCCCACAGTCAGCCCAAACTGCACAGGTTTCCCAGGCGGCAGGACCCGGCCTCTGCAGCCTCCCTGCCCCTCGCCCCCTGCCCTCCAGCCATGACACAGTCTACTCTGTCAGCTTGTGCCTACCTCACCACTCCACCTCTCAGCTCCGTACCGTCCCATAAACTATTCTGGAACATCCCCCCCCTCGCCCCCCCGACCTCTGTAGCTGGCTAAATCCTTTTTTTTTTTTTTTTTTTTTAAGATTTCGTTTACTCATGAGAGACACACAGAGAGAGGCAGAGACACAGGCAGAGGGAGAGGCAGGCTCCATGCAGGGAGCCTGATGTGGGACTTGATCCCGGTCTCCAGGATCACTCCCTGGACTGAAGGCGGCACTAAACCACTGAGCCACCGAGGCTGCCCTAGCTGGCTAAATCCTGCTCATTAGGTCTCCACTGAAATGTTTTCTTCAGAAACTATCCTTAACTATCCTAAATGAGGTTGACTGACTCTCCTGTGCAAACAATTTGGATGTTTTTTCATGTCATCCTCAATACTGTACAGTATTTTGTAGATGAGAAAATTAGGTCTTGTCCACTCATTCAACACATACTTAAGAAATAAAAAGGTTTTACTTATTAGAGCACAAGGAGGGGAAGTGGCAGTGGGTGGGGGAGTGGGGGACTAGCAGACTAGCAGGCCCCCCACAGAGCCGGATGCAGGGCTCCATCCCAGCACCCTGAGATCAGGACCTGAGCTGAAGGCAGACACTTAACCAACTGAGCCACCCAGGCGCCCTCAGCACATCTTAATGAGCATGGGCTGTGTGCTAGTCACACCGGTGACCTAAAGACAGACTAATGCTCTTGGGGTATTTACATCCCTAGGAGGAAACCTGGTGCTGCACATGACAAATCATAAATGTATATGTAGTTTCTTGCTGATAAAAGCCATGGAGAAGGGGTTAGAATGGGAGGATCAGGCCTATAGGAAAGTGTGGTCAGAGGAAACCTCACTGAAAAGATCGGATGGGAAGAAAGAGGAAGCTGGTGAGGGATTTTGCCTGACAATGCATGCGCATCCAGGCAGAAAGAGTGGCCAGGAGCCAAGGTCCTGGGCAGGAATGTGCCTGATTGTTGAGGCTGGTGTGGCTGTGAGACCAGGAACCAGGGGCGAGAGAGTAGTGGAGGGGGAGGTCAGAAATGGGAGCCAGACCTTGCAGAAACCCAGGTGTGGCAAGAAGTGACCAGATACTCGTTCATCTTGGACGTGGGACTAAGAGGCCAGATGAAAGAGTCAGAGTTAAGGTTGACCCCACAGCCTTGGCTGGAGCAACTGGAAGGAAGGAGTTGTCATTTATTGGAATGGGGAAGGCTGAGCCTAAGTGTTGAATAACCTGCTTGAGGGTCCCCAGCTGGAATGCAGTGGAGTTGCCAGTGCTCCCTGGCCAGCCTGACTTCAGGGCTCTTCCCACACTGCCACCTGCCCAGAGCCAAGGACACAGATGCGGGAAAATGTGTGGAAGGAAATACACCACGAGTTGTGAGGTTAGGTGATTGTCTTCATAATTTTTTAAAATTTCTGGAAAGAATTAATATTGCTTTAATTTTTTTTAAAGATGTTATTTATTTATTCATCAGAGACACAGAGACACAGGCAGAGGAGAAGCAGACTCCCTTTGGGGAGCCCCATGCGGGACTCGATCCTAGGACCTGAGCCAAAGGCAGACACTCAGCCACAGAGCCACCCAGTTGCCTCTACTTTTAATTTTTTAATGTCTTTCAAATAGGATAGAAGTGGAAAATGTTCAAGTCCCTGTTCTTTTTCCTGCCCCCAAAATCCCGAGAGGTAGTCACAAAGATTTAGTCTATAGCCTTCTGGGCATTTTCTGTGAATATATAAACATGCATACAAACTATGTTTTATACAACTGGAATCACAGCCCTACCTTTTTTTAAAAAGATTTATTGATTTGAGAAAGAGACAGCAAGAGAGGGAGAGGGAGCACAAGCAGGGGACAAAGGGAAAAGCAGGCTCCCCACTGGGCAGGGATACTGACCTGAGGCTCCATCCCAGGACCCTGGGATCATTCATGACCTGAGCCGAAGGCAGCCGCTTAACCACTTGAGCCACCCACGCCCCCACCCCCACCCCCCGCCGTAGTCCCACCTTTTTGCAAATCACCCTTTTTCACTTACATATACTGTAGACCAGGATCCGTGGGTGGCTCAGCGGTTTAGCGCCTGCCTTTGGCCCAGAGTGTGATCCTGGAGACCCAGGATCGAGTCCCACATCGGGCTCCCTGCGTGGAGCCTGCTTCTCCCTCTGCCTGTGTCTCTGCCTCTCTCTCTGTGTGTCTCTCTGAATGAATAAATAAAATCTTTAAAAATAAATAAAACATTTAAATGCTGTGGACCTCTTTCCATGTCAGTACCTCATCCTTTAAACTTCTGCACTCTCTACTGTGAAAGACCTACCATAAGTTCTTAAAACGGTTACCAATACAGTTTTTTTACTGAAGAAAAAATATGGGAGCAAGTTATAGATAAAAATAATTAATTCTTGGAGGACACAAAACAAAAGGTCAGCTTTCCTCCATCCTCTCCCCAGCTCCAGTTTCATTCCCTGAAGCTTCTGGCTGAGGTTTCTGGGGCGGGAAGCATCACAGCTTAGGATGTCTGCTTTAGCAGACAGCGCCTGGGGACTCCAGGTTGTGGGGGTTTGATCCATTTATGTGACCTCCCACCTGTATCTCCTGATTTGGTTAGCTATATTATTACCTTTCATTCTTCTGGAACTCCCTTATGACTTTAAACAATATATTTACACATCTGTGTCTTGATTTATCGCCTTCAGCAGTACCTATTGATTGCCCTCTATGAAGAATGAGGACATTAGCTCACTTCCCTGGACCCCCCTCCCCCTCCCACCACCATTTTTTGTTACTTCGCCTTGTCAAGGTTTACAATATTTCCTGTTCTATTAGTGCAGTTAAGCCGTCCATTCTAGAAAGTGAAAACCGATAAACAGTATTTTAATTGTATGTTTATGAAAAATCATTCAAGCATCAATTTCAAATATGTCTTCTGATTTTTTTCTTTATTCCCTTCACTTGTGGATCACACTCAGCTGCCACTGTTGCTCGGACAGCATTGTTAATCTTTTTCTTTGGTGAGTACTCCCTTTGTGAGATTTTGGCGCCCAGGGTTAGAAACTTTCTGATTCTTGTATGTCTGAAAATATCTTTTTTTTTTTTTTTTAAGATTTTATTTATTCAGGAGAGACACACAGAGAGAGAGGCAGAGACACAGGCAGAGGGAAGAGAAGCAGGCTCCATGCAGGGGTCCCCATGTGGGACTCGATCCCGGGAATCTAGAATCATGCCCTGAACCAAAGGCAGATGGTTCAACCACTGAGCCACCCAGGCGTCCCTGAAAATATCTTTCTTTTACACTTGCAGTTTTAACTTTGCCTGGTGTGGGCTTCTTTATAAAAAAATTGTTTTCCCCAGAAACCTGAAGATATTTTTCCTGGTTCTGTATTAACCAGTTGTTGAAAGAGGAGGGGATGTATGGCAACCGTGGAGGCTTCGCTAATGGGTTTCCTTATCAAATTACCCCAATATTTGCCCTGTGGACCACTTTGATTTTTTATTTGTAGACTCTGAACTTGAAACCTGTCCAAGCTTCTCTTGGGAAGAACAACCTTTGACTCAAGTATTTTGGCTTTAAGAAGAATGTCGGATTTTGATGGGAAGCCAGGTGCCCCAAGGTAGAGTCTATTTGAAAGAAAAAGAAAATAATAATAAAATTTTTTTAAATAATAAAAAATTAAATAAATAAAAAGAAAAAAAGGGATGCCTGGGTGGCTCAGTGGTTGAGCCTCTGCCTTTGGCTCAGGTCATGATCCCGGGGTCCTGGGATCAAGTCCTGCATCGGGCTTCCTGCAGGGAGCCTGTTTCTCCCTCTGCCTTTTTGTCTCTCATGAATAAATAGGTAATAAATAAATAAATAAATAAATAAATAAATAAATAAATAAGCTTTGGTGTTTGGTTAATGTGAATTGAGTTAACCACCTCCCCAAAATTTGCTTTTTTCCCCTCCAAAGAATTATTTGTTAGATCACCTTTTTCCCTGCACTGATTTGTAATGCCTCCTTTTTATCTCCTGTGAAATCATTATCAGTACAGTGTCTATTTCTGGGTCTCAAGTCTATTTCATTCATCCGTCTAGTCAAAGCCAAAACTACTCATTTGACTGTTGTGGCTTTGTTTTATTACCTGACACAGCCAATACCCCCCATTATTATCTTTTTTTTTTTTTTTTTTCAAAAGTAGTGCTATGCCCCTGTTTTGCTTCCAACTGGATTCTAGCTTGTTTTTGGAAAATTCCCCTCCCTCCATGTAGGTTGCAGATTTGATTGTATCTCAATCAATAAAAGAACAGCAATGTATCTGAAGAACATGTGTAAATAT